GGCACTGTCAAAAAGGAGGGTCTTGAGTCGTGCCTTGAAGGAGGCAAGAGAGGGAGCAAGGCCAAAGAGTGGGGGCAGAGAGGCAGAGCCCGGCCGGGCTCCAGGTCGGGCGGGAGATCTGGAGCAGGCTGGAGCAGACAGGTTGATAGGGGGTCAGCAGATCCTAACACAAATACTGCTTTTTACTTCTTTGATCCTTCTGTCTGTATCAATGAAGTGACTGATGTTATTCTAACTGGCATGGAAGGTTTCGTACTTCACCCTTTCCTGGCAGATTAAGCATCTCAATCACTTCTGCACGTATGGTCTTCTGGGACAGTGCATTCTGCATTCTCAAAATCCTTTGTGTGAATGTTTTCTGGTTTTATATTTAATCCTTATTTTTAAACTCAATGTCCATACTCCTGTCATGGTCTAAGTCAAACAGCCTGTTTATTTCCACATAATCTATGCCTATGACAACTATTATTATGCAGCAAGTTATATTCCTCAGGCCTATCCTAACCAGAACTGTTTTAGCTTGAGTAAAACAGATTATTTGATGAGATTAGTATTATTTGCCAGAACACTGGGAGAAACACCCTTTTCTTATTGAATAGTGCCATGTGATCTTTAACATTCGCCTGAACAGGCAGATGGGGTCTTTGACATCTCATATGAGGATAACACCTCATGACTGCACTGTATTATCAGTCCAGACTATAAGACTAGAGTCCCCACATGGGGCTTGAACCACAGAGGCGAGAGTGTTACAAAATGAAGTGCATCATATAGTAATAATAATGTCATAACCCAAAATCATAAATGTTACGTGGTTTCTGTCATTAGATTTCTCCAACCCCAAAGTATTTTACTTTTCCACTCAAATTAAAATTTTAAGTAAATAGCAAGCTTTCCATTACCACTACTATTAAGTCACAGGAAAATATGACAACCATATCTCACAATAAGAAAGGGAGCTTTACTGGAAATTAATGTACTTCTCTCATGATAGGAAAATTTTACATAAAAATACTTTGGCCTGATCTTGTTGTCACCAACACACTCATTCCAGAAGACAATACTGAATTAAGAATCAGAAACAGGATTTCTAGTCATATTTTCCTTACCCAGCTTAAACCAATTATAGTGCCCTCCAGTCTGAAATGCCAAAATTAAAAAAATATTAAGTACATATTGCAAATTGTTGGAAATTATGTCAAATGAGTAAGTGATGGTTAGGGAGGGAGTAGGAATATTGTAACTGTCCATTTCTGCAAAAAAAATGCAGAGTTGAACATCAAACCATTTCCTGTGACCTTTTCTCGTTTCCAGTGGCTTAAATCTACAATTGCAAAACCTTTCTGGAAATGCAAGATATTGTACAGAAACCATTGCTTCCTTAAATAAATGTAGTACACTATTAAAGCCATTTTAAAATCAAAATAAACTTTAGAAATTTCTTCCATTCTGAGAGATGCCACAGACTGAGGTGCATAAACAACCCCTTTGCTTTTATGCACTTATTTTGGCATTGCCTCCAATCAAGTACAGTAGATTATGAACCTACATTACTATCAGCCTACTTCATTCACTATAACTGCCTTCATAACATTAACCGATAAATTCAAACAAAAGTGTTTAATAGAAATATTATTCTTTTAATAGAAAAGAATAAGTACTCACTTTGTGATAACCTTTGTTTAAAATAAAGTATCACCCACAAGATCATAAAACTGACAATCCTTACAAACAGACTTCATCTTATCTAGAACATTTTACAAACAGCAAGGTTGTGGAATGAGAAGTAAACTATGACTCATTGTAAATGGAATTCTAAAACCAAACTAGTGGAGAAATTTAGGATGAGGTTACAGAACTGCTTGATCATTGTACCAATTTAGACATGGTATTTAACAATTCAGGCCCAAGATACCATCTAACCTTAGCCTGTATGGCCACTTAGTCTTAAAATCCAAGATTGTGCAGAATTCTGAAAATTCTTAGTCATCTTTCAAAATTCTACAATTCTGGATGACTCGTGAGACAAAACAGTCTTACAAGCTAAGATTTCGAGCCTCTTGTGTCCATAATTTCAACACCCTGCTGGCTGAGACAAAAGCTACTGAAAGAATTTCTTCCAGCAAGAACTTTCAAAACATGTGAACAGATAGGGAAAAAGACTTAATAGTTTATACAGTCACTCAAAGATCCAAAGAAAAAGCTAATTTCTGACAAATTAGATTAAACTTCAATCCCCTTTAATGAAACAGAAGGCATTTCTCCAGGGGGCTACTTTGAACTCAATCTTAATAATGTGGACCAAGGATGATTTAAATTTTTATGAAGGATAAAGTAAAACATGCTTTGGGACACCTTCTTGATGTGAAATGCCTGATATAAATGTAAGTTTTGTTATTGCACTGTATGCTAATAATTGGTCTGTTGTATGGTTGCTTATGCCAAAAAAATTCAAAAATTAACTCAACTTATGGCGAATGAAAGTACAGATTAAAAAAATTAAAACCTGGAGTGAAGTACTTACACTTGAAGCTACTATTCTCCCCACCCTTAACAAAAATTCTCTTGGGAAAATGCTGTGTGCAACTTGGTTGTTGCGTTTGCCCACAAAACATGCAATCACTCCACTTTATAGTAACAACTACTTCTCTGCTCAAGACCTTTCTTTTCGACCGCGCCTTTGGTCACCTTCCTCCCCCTCCCCCTGGCTCGGTCCCGGGATCTGTTACTGTGAATCGCTCTGAGACGCCGTCTGGTGTGGAGGGCGCTATATAAATCCAAGTTGTTGTTGTTATATCCTCTAAAGTGCATTGGGACGTTCTCCCTACATGAAAGGCATGATACCAAATGTAAAGATTATTATTATTCTTTGTATTTGAGGGATTCCCTAAATCTAGCAATGGATTTAAAACATGACTTTCAGAATGGCAAAGGTGTTTGGGAAATTGACAACATTTACGCAGTTAGCTATAAAACAATTTTACAGCAGCACTTAACTGAACACAGAATTTCCTTGTAATCAACTACAAATTACTTGCCAATAATCCTGCAGTAATTACTCCTTAAACAAAAGTTAACACACCCTTCTACAAAAATGACACTCCACTGCATTTAACTGCTGCCAGTTTAACTCAAAAATCTAAAGGATGGAGAAATATTCCATCCAACCTACCTCCGTGATCTCCTAACTCCTACCAACTTGTCCACTCCCTCTGTTCAGTGGGCTCCGACCTGCTTCCCCCGCCTTGCATCCATCCCACAGTACCTCCACCTCGCCACCTCCCTTACCTCCTTCTAGAAGCATCTCAAGATGCTCCTCTTCGACCGTGCCTTCAGTCACCCTCCTGCCCCTACTGATCTCAACCACCAGTGGATCTCTGACTATCCAGGGTTTTGGGATGTCCTCTTGATATGAAAGGTGCTATACCCGTAGTTTGTTGTTGTTGTTTGTTAAAAAACATGCCCAGAATGTATTATTAAAACCAGCAAGGAGTAAACACCAGGGCTGTAATTGAGTTCAAGCACAATTCCTAAAGTTTATAAACGATTCCATGGGGTGGGGATGTGTAAGGATTAGACACACCTCAGATTGCGAACAATATAGAAGGATCAGAGTATCCATGGAAGGGCTAAGGCAGAGATAAAAACTCTGAGGATATCCAGAAGCAGAAAACTATCATTTCTGGCTGAACCACTCGCCTCCCTTGTTTCAAAACAACTAGCGAGTAAATATTCAAGAAAAGCAAGACACACTATTATTAGCAATTAGTAAACATTAATACTCAAGGAGGTATAATGTTCTGAGTTTGAAAGTAGAGGGTGTGAGTTTACCATAATGCATGCTCAAAGTAATGTATTTCTTCCTGAAGTAAGAACATCAATCTGAATTAATTAAAAGTAATCCCTTAATGAAGATAACTCCAAACAGACATTCTATCCTAGACAGAATCTGCACTCAGAAGGGGGCTGTAAATTAACTCCATCTTTATCAGGAGAAATTCCCAAAGGCATGTCCTCCTTCATATAACGCTGTGCATAGGTGCATGGGGAGGTGGGGCAGGAAGGAACTATATTTCTTCTCTTCTCTCTATTCACTAATACCTAAAACAAATTGTAATGGCGCCATTATTGTGTGCTATGGCTAAGTAATAGGGTGACCTGGTGACAGAAAAAAAGTGTGATTCATTGAGTATTATAATGTACACAATTTTGTTTGTTTTCCCTTTCCCAGCATGAAAATTGAAACATACATACTATTTATTGCCACAATATCTACCATAACTATGCGTACACATCCAATATTTCCTTCTGTGAAACTACTCCCAAATTGTTCATATAAGTGAGATATTTTCTCACATTAATTTTCTCTATATTAACCATCTACCACCTGGATGTAAGGTTTAGGACACAGTCGTAATTTCAGTTTCCCATTAGGGGTACTCCCTCCAGTATTGGAGTTTCACAGCAACCATATATATCTATGAATACACACACACACATCAAATTTAAGGACTGTGGGATTATAATTTCTCAATGGAAATAAATTTACAACAACAACTTGTACTTATATAGCAACATCCACACAGGGCAGCGTCTTAGAATGCTTAACAATGGAGAATCCTGACTCTGAGCCATGGGGGGGTGGGGGGAGGTGGCTGTAAGCACGGTCGAAGAGGAAGATTTTCAGGCGCGACTTGAAAAAGGTGTGAGAGGGGATTGAGGGAGTGTTCCAGAGTTTTGGGGCATAATGGCTGAAAGGGCGACCTCCGATGATGGGGCGGAGGGTGCAAGGGACGAGCAGGAGGCCAGTGCCAGTTGAGTGGAGGCGCTGGTGATGGATTAGGGAATGAGGAGGTCATTTAGAATAGCTATCTGGCAGCATTTTGAAATTATCGAGAACTCATGTGCTTATAGCAGTAATATAATTATCGTTATGATATAACTCACCTAAAGATGTCTTAAACTAATTTGGCTCTCCCTGGAAATAGAGAGGATCTTACCTTGAGAAGGTAGGTTGGAATGTTACTGAAGTCCACTGGCAGCTTCAAAAGGAAACGGGCAGAAAATTCACCGGTCTGTGAAATTTGCAGAAAACCAAGCAAAGTTAACAAAAATGGTCAACGTATTCACTGGCATTTATATCGGACATGTCTATCTAGTACGCCAAAATGAATCGTCAATTTCGCCCACAAAATATATACAGTCAATTTACTTTACAGTATATTCTGTGAACCGCTTTGAGATGTCTCAACAATGTGAAAAGGCACTATATCAAATGCAAGGATTACTATCGTTATAATGATTAAATATTAAAACAGGATACTAGGATATCACAAAATAACAGGCTTCTTCTCTACGAGTTTAAGACAAGTGAACTACTGCATTCAACGGGTCAAATGGTTGTAAATCTATTCATATGTACCTCTGAACTCCATCACCACAATTCTAAAAATAAATGTTACACAACAACATAATTTAGGTATGATTTGATTTCACCTATATATCATTTGAGCATAACCTGAATTATAATTTCTTTCCTGAAATGTAAAACTGTGGCTCATTTTTATTTTATAGCTCAGTAAAACAAATTTGCCATAGTAGGAATAACTTGGAAATTCAGATTCGATTCAAATTGGACTTTTTTGGGTATATGAAAATGAAGTTTTCATTTCTCATACAATATTCAGAGACACTACAGATTTTGAAGGTGGAGGAAAGAAAACAAATGGAGATATTTCTGAACGGAGTGAGTGGAACTGAACTAATAATAATTAATTATAACTGATGAAATAATTCAAATTAATGTGGATAGCAGGTAATCAAGGACTAGAGCAAGCAAAGATAGAGCTTTTAAAGTGAAAATCGGTGACCCTATTGTTACTTTTGCTTGCAAGGAACTGTAACCTAAAATTAGTAATAATAATCCATGCATTTGATATTGCATGTTATCACATCTTTGAGACGTCTCAAAGCGCTTCACATAATATATTGTAAAATTAATTGACTGTATATTTTGTGGGCGAAACGCTTGGGTGCAGCAGTGTCCCACAAACAGTCATGGATTGAGTGACCAATTTTTTTTCGAAGGGATTATTACCAAGAGAATTACCAATTAATTCCAGAGAATGACAGCAGATAGGGACTTTTAATGTTGGCAGATATGCATTTTGATGCATGATTCATACAACTGCATGATCTGGAAGTACTCCTGCATCCGTGACTTCAAAGAGATCAGTGAATTGCTGACAATTAGTGTAATGGTTGAAGACTATTATGTATTGTGGATTTGCTTCTACAGGAAACTGTATTGCCCAGATTTCTTTCACTTAAAGCCATTAATAGTTATCAGAGGGACACCTTCATCCTTCCTGTCTGGCCTAGAGTCGAAGCCGGGTCTTGGTGATGAAATACTGTTCTATAACTTTTTATAAGCTGTGCTGGGTGATACCACTTGTAGCTGTTCTAAGGATTTAGACCAAATACACCATCAGTAACCATAAAATTGGAAAAACATTTTTGAGGATATGGGTTGTAGCTCCATCTCATTGTGTACTGTAGAAAATTGCAGTGGGATGTTTCTTTTAAAGCTAAGACATATTAAAATTGAAAAAATAACGCAACAACTTTGGTTTGAGAAATAAACTATTTTACTGCTTAACATAAGTTTAACTTCTGTATTTCGCACACTTTCTTGCAAAATGGCTTGTAAATTTAATTGGTGAAATCATAGGAGCAACTTTGCTCATTTTCTTAGATGGAAAAGATGATACAGAGATACTCAAGAGGGAAAGGGAGAAAGAAAAAGTTTGTTATATAAGCACTACTGAGATATATGAATATTGCATTGCTCAAAAAAGCTTATACTGTTTGTAGGAAAATATTAAAACTCCAAATTACTGGTAATCAGTTAGTCCACAATTAACAATAGTCTATAATCTTATAATAAATTACCTAATTTAAGGTCTTTAACTAGCACTTCCAATAGCAAATCCTTTTTTTAAAAAAACAGCAAGTTTATACAATCTTGAGAATATTAACTCCCAGCAACATTTTACAATTTTCTAAGACAACACAGCTGGCAATTCAACAAAGGAAACAGCTTGGCAGATCAAGTCTGGCGCAGTAGGCAAAAGTAGTTCTACTTTGTGGTACCATTCTGGAAGTTTAACTCTTTAACAGAATAACGCTGAACAAGTTTGATTCATAAATCAAACTTTTCCTATGCACCATTTATTTTCCTGTATATTTACTCAAGTTTACAGCCTTGCAACTCACTTTTAAGAATCCATTATTTTTATAAATTAAATATTATTTTCTAGGTTAGAAAAAACTGTTATTCTATATAGCATTTCTCATTTCAATGTCTGACAACACTTTGCTCTTTGAAAACATACAATGCATGACATGCTTTGGGTAAAATCATGCTTATTAATTGGAACGATGAATGAATGCCCATTTTGACATTTATTCCCAAGAATATTTTAAGGACTATATTCAACCAGAATAGACAGCCAATTAGCATCATTAGAGAAAATGGCTTAAACAATTTTAACCGAATGTATGGGGGAGTTGAACTATATGCTATTGAAATGACACATTTGCAGAAGCATACCAGGTTAAGAAATGAATTTCTGAGTTAAGAACTCCATCTGTGAGTATTAATTCAGTTTTGCCTCAGATGTGATTCTATTTATTCCTCCAAACCATTTCCCTGGATATCAATATGTATTTTATTCAATCATACTCTTTTAATTGTCATTATCTCAAGCTTTCCCCCCAGAGCTAATGGTTTGAGTAGAAACATCATTTCCATAATCTTTTCACCCACTTGGATTCATAGATGCTACAGCTCAAAAACAGACTATTTGGCCCATCCAATCTGGCTGGAGTTTACACTCCCAACGAGTACCTATCCCAAATGATAATATCTTGGCTTTTTACCCTTATCCCTCAATTTTATTCTGCCTTAACCATGTGTACATCTTTTTATGAAAGTGCACATGCTGCTGCCCCATCAGCAGACAGTGAAAGGGAATCCCAAATTCCTCTGTGTGAAAAAAATATTCTTAATCTTCATTCTAGACCTATTTCGTATTCTCAAACTGTGCCCTTGAGTTCTAACATCCTCTGAACTCCGGAAATGATGTTTCCCTATCCACGCTGTCTAGGTCTCTCATCGCCTCCAGCACCTTAACACTTTTCGTATAATGAGAAACAAAAACTACACTCATAGTTTTCCAACTGTGGCCTGACCTTTGTTTTGTACAGATTCAACAAGATCTCCTTATCCTTATATTCTATCCCCCTAGCTATAAATCCCAAGATCTCATTGGCTATTTAATGGCTTTATAGACCCAACACAGAGTTTTGGGGTGTAGTGGCTGAAAGCACGATCTCCGATGGTAGGGTGGAGGGTGTGAGGGACGAGCAGGAGGCCGGTGCCAGTTGAACGGAAGTGAATTGGTGAATGAGGAGGAGAAACGATTTGCTGAGATGAAATGGAGGCCGTTAGTTAAGTAGGATTGAAGTCCCACTAAGGTAGATGAGGGAGGAGAGCCGATGGAAGAGGATGGCGTGGTCGACTGTGTCGAACGCGGCAGAGAGATCCAGGAGGATGAGGAGACAGAGGGTCCTGGTCACAGATAGGATGTCGTTTGTGACTTTGACAAGCGCTCTCTCTGTGCTGCGGGCAGGGCAAAAAACAGACTGCAGGGGCTCGAGGAGGGAGTGGGGGGAGAGGTGTGACAAAAGTTGACCTGCAACAATGAGTTCCACATCATAGAACTTATTGCCAATATAGATTTCTAAAAAAAAGTGATCTATATTGGCATTAAGCTCCATGATGTGCCTAATGCCAATACAGATCACGTTGGAATGCCGGTGGGCTTGAAACACAACAAACTGCATTTAGGTAGTAGTGCTTTTCATGTTAGAAGGATACCCTAAGATGCTGGGGAAAAAAACATCTTTTTATGGCTGCATCTCTAACGAAAAACATGTAGGGCCTTGCTTTTTTTAAAAAAAATGCCTTCTTCAGTTAGAAGGAATTTCAAAATTCTGATCAACATATCAGTTTAATGGGATGATAGCTACCTTCCAATTAAAATCAGGGTTTTGTATTCTAGTGTGAAATATAAAGTGTTGCTAATTAAGTGGCAGTCATCTCATTGATGCTTGTAATCTGTTAGTTAATTTTTTTCTCAAAAATCTATTCAACAGAATTTGCTATCAATTTACCCAGTTATTTTTTCTTCCTGCGTAGATCTCCATGTTGTCTCCAAATTCAGGCCCCTCCTGTAGTGCTGTATACTCAAACATAAGGCGTGAGCTCTCATGGAGTCGATCACATTGATATCTGTAGTACTGCTGCACCAGTTCCTTAATAACAAGCAGGAGACAGTCTGGATTCTGGGAGTTCCAGGCATTCAAATGCTGAATATTGAGATAAAGAGAGAAAAACATAGAATGGACATTACAGACCTCTGCAAGCTTCAACAAGAATAATTTTGAATACTGTTATTTGCTTTAGACCACCACTTTTAAGGCTTCATATTTTGAATGTGTGTGCAATATACAAATCATGACATTCAAACATTTTCAAAATAATACATGTGTTATGTTGGGTGAATGTTTTTCAAGAGTGGCTTTTTTTTAGAAATAAGTCATGGCATTAATGTAATAATCAAAGGACAAACAAAATCTGCATTAATACTATAAGAGTTCGGGTTCTAATTAGGAACGCAAATCTGCAATATAAATTCAAATAAACATCCCAAATTAGATGAGGTATGTTTTAAAACAACAAAAAGGATCATGTTGCCAGCGACAGAAACTCTAACAACAAGCTGATTTTGAATATTTGGCTAATTCTGAAAAGTGTTTTTTTTCTGTGCTTCTTTTCACTGCAAAAAGTAATAGCTAATGTGCACAAAGGTCAACAGCTTATGAGGTTATTCTTTGACTAGCCTTCACGCTCCCCTGAAGATACAAATTCCCTCCTTCAGAAAACTGATTGCAGCGTGCTTAAACTGAATGAATTGGAAGGTCAAAATAAAGTACTTAATTAACAGATTGCTCTTACAAGAAGCATTATACCCAGGAGCAGCATGCAGGAAGTAACAGTGGCACTTGTTGTGCATAGTGTGCATGTGCAGGAAGTGATATTACTGGCACTTCCAACACAGAATACGCAATTGCAGGAAGTGACACCAGCAGCAATCTGACCATTATTTTTCTGTTCATCACTTATAACACGGCCAGTAAGACACTGGACCCAGTGGACTGAATTATAATGTAGTTTTTCTGTATTCATGCTTTACTTTTTCAAGCACTATTACTAGACAGAAAGAAAAATCATCACACGAGAGATACGTCCAGAAGACTATGACTACATCTTGTCACAATTGTAAGCAAACTCTCTGTCATCTTGTTCAAGCATTGAACAAAGTTGTGATTTGTAACAATAACTTCCAACATCACATTGAAATTTACAGTACAGAGGAAGGCTATTCAGCCGATTGTGTCCTTCAAAGAGCAATCCTTTCAGTCCCATTTAACTGCTCTTTCTCCATACTCCATTTAGGTATAAAACTAACACACACAAACTGAAGGCTCTGGAAGACGGTAAATAATTCTGACAACACTGCTGCACCTGTCCTCTGCCTCAAGGGCAGCAGCATGATGTGGACGTGCCACATGCATCGGAACCACCCTGATTTCATTACCATTTGCTCACAGTAGCTGTGAAATGGGAGTGCTGGACAATCTACATTTGAAACTCCATATTCTGTGGCCTCCTCCCTTCAAGAGCCTCCAAGAACACCTCAGTTGCAATGGGCAACTCAGAAGAATTAGCAGATAGGTAGATTAGTGTGTGAAGTTTCCATCTCGTTGTGGATGGAATGGTTTCTCATCTACGTCCTAAATATCATCAGAGTGGAGGAGATTCTTCAGGGTCCCATTGTCTTGCCTCATTGTCCTGCTACAACAAAAGGACCTTAAATGGGTTGATCAGCTTCAATGAAGATTATCAAACAATAATAATATTTGGTTTTGATACAATTCAATTCATGTCAAGACACCTTAAAGTGCTTCACAGGATTTACAGTAAAGTGCAGTGACTATTATTATAGAGGAACAAAGCAGTAATTTGCTCACAAAACAGCTGTGAAGCGATTGACCAATTTTATTTGGGGGATTATTGGTCAGAACAATGGGAAAAATTCTCTTATCTTATTGAATATAGCCTTGGGATCTTCAATATCCTCTACGAACAGGCAAATGGGATCTTGGTTAAAGTGTCATCTGAAGGATGGCACCTCCAATAATATAGCGAACTGCCAGCATCACATTGGAATGTCAGTCTAGACAATGTGAGTTCAAAGTCCTGACGTGAGCTTCAGCACCGATTGGCTTTCAATAGCCACTTTCTGGACACTGTTTCTTAACGTTCAATTATTACTAAATTCCACATCACATAACATCCAGTGCACAAACCTGCCTGTAACTACAGAAAAGAGCCGATCATCTGTACTTATTGGAATCAGCCCCTTTGCAGATAAACAGACAGTGTGGATAATACAAATTCGCTCTAGTGCTAACTAAAAAAGTGTTCCAGCAGTAGTTATACTGTTAGTACAGTACTAGACTATGCCAGCTCTTCTATTTCTCACTCTGCCTTTTTCTTTCCATAAGTGTATGCCCCTTCCTCTCTGCGTGTCCCAATTTGTCTCTCTAAATTTCTCTCTCATTACAATATCACTATCTCCACCCTAACTGCATATTACCTGCACTATCGCCCATAAAAGTCCTTTTGGTGCCTGTGTGCCAAGGCAAGCAATTGTGAGCGAAGTTGCTAGGATTCCATACCTGGGTTGAGAGCTTCCCTAGAAACCTTGCATTCAAATTTGTACAACAGGCAGTTTTGCTGGTATCCTATTCTATTGGTGACTGGCTGGCTTCCTGTCCTATAAAATGTGTGCAAAGGAAATTATGTAGTGTGATGCTTCTTGTGCACTGTGCGGTGCCTAGGAAGTGAAGTCTGCTGCTATGCACAGGAAGCAATGCCAGCAGCAACTTGACAGCCCAGAAGTCAGTCATTTTGTCACATTTCATAATAACACAGCTTCAGATATTCGACCCATACAACTGTGTTATAATGCTAAATGCAGATGCTGGAAATCTGAAAACAAAAACAGAAGTTCTGAACTGGCGAAGGGACCCCTCTGACGAAGGGTTGTGGACCCGAAATGTTGACTCACTTTCCTTTCTCCATAGATGCTGCCTGACCCGCTGAGTGTTCTCAGCAACTTCTGCTTTTATTTTGTGTTATAATGCTGTTACCCTGCTTTACTAATAACGTGCGCCTTTTATCCCCACCCCTGCAATATCTTGGCGTAAACACTGTGTGTAACCAAATGCATTTTTGTTAATTCAAAGATACACTTAGTTATTTTTATGCTGTAGACTCAGTGAAATGGAAGGCAAATTGAGACCATCAGCTACTGGTAGAGAAGGTATTCATCCATCTGTTTGGATTGGATTCAAAGCAAGTCTCAAAGGTGAAAGGACAGTGGTTTTACACTCTGAGCCAGCCAGTCTGCTTACATCAGGCAACATTTGTTTTCACATAAAAAAAACTTTGACTGCATGCTTGGTTAATCCCTGTATCTAGGGAAAACAGAAGGGATATTGTATCTTTCAAAAAAAATGAACTGTATTTCGGGAATCTTACATCATAGCAAACTATCTGCATTATGTCTACAACTAACTAATCCAAGCTAAACACCAACAGAAATGCCAACGCACAGCACCACTCAATAGGAAGTCCATTGTTTTTAGTTTTATTGAAACAGAAACAATTGCTGTTTAGCTCACAAACATAAAGCACAAATGCTATGTCAGGAACTAATTATAATGATAGTTATACATTGTTTTTCTGGAAGACTTTTTCTCCTAAATACTAGTCATATGAAAATAATTATTAACAATGAATTACTTCAGATACCTGTGAATCCTGTAAGATTAATAAAATGTGTTATTTGCTGGTGCTTTTCACACAATTTGTTACCCAGAATTACTCTACCTTCTTCATTTTGAGAAGCTTATTCTGAAGATAATACAGTAAAACTCACTTAAGTCGTATCAGTCGGGACCATAACATTTAATATGACTATGTGAAGTCCGAGTTGTAGAACTCGTAGAAAATCCGATTTTATCAATAATCTACCTGTGCAATTTAATACAGACAGTAAGTGTGCATGCGGTAGTTTGCCATTGCAGCTGGTTGCAGTGTCATTGCAGCGCATGTTAAGACTACATTTCCCTCGAGTCAATGAATCTTCACCAGTCACTGAATACGCAAACATTGGAATCACAGGAAATTAAGTTCTTCTGCGCACGCATCGACATTTCCTGCGATTCAATGCAGCCGGCCAGTAAGTGCACATACATCAAGGGGAATGTAGGATAGAGGAGTAATGTAGTAGAGGAGTGGCGCTACGACTTAGGAAGTGAGTAATACGAGTAGTGTAAAGAAATCTAAGTTTTGATAGGAAACTGAATGGGACTCAGGTGAACGTACAACTGAGGCATTTAGACAATTTATAAAGACTTATGAATTTTACTGCATACTCAACAGATTAATCGGAAAATTTAATGAATTTTCAAAATATTCTGTTCAACAGGTAAGATAAATTTACTGCCGAACAGAAAATATCTCCCTAAATGTAACCGAGGAAGACATTTCATAATTTCCTTTACTTATGGTGCTTTAACACTTTAAAAAACACCCTTTCTAAAAAGTAACCTAGTACAGATATTTTAGTTATTCTCCACAATTTTCTCTTGAATACATTAATTAGAATTAATATTTTGTTGATTATCCCTTAATTTGGGCATTTATAGAGGATCAGTCTAGTTCAACTGGTAGCACTCCCACCTCAGAGCCCCAAGATTGTGGGTTCAAGTTTCATGTTGGGACTTGGAACTCATATCCAGTAGTCTGGGCTATATGCAGTGAAGTGCTAGGTATGTTGGAGGTGCTGTCCTTCAGGTGAGACATTAAACTGAGGTCCCATCTGCCTACTCAGGTAGACATTAAAGATCTCATTGTAATATTCGAAAAGAGGAGTTTCTCCCTGTATCCTGGCCAACAATCCCCAAATGAAATATCGGTCACTCACTCCATGGCTGTTTGTGGGACACTTGTATGAAAATTGGCAGTAGTATTCACCTACAAAATACAGTCACTAAACTTTGCAATATATTCGATGAAGCACTTTCACACATGCTCCCAAAATGAAAGATGCTATATCAAACGCAGGATTATTATTTATTATCAAGGCTCTATATTTTAAATGCGTGTGGAACAATTCTCATCCAACCTTCTCTGAATCTTGATACACCGTAATTTAAGATTGCATATTTAGGTTGACTAAACCTTTTTTCGTTGAAATTCTTCCAAAATAGTATTTTAGAAAATAAATGGTCATATGCAAGATTATTACTCAAGCACTGAATTGCAGTTTTTTTAAAAAACGCCTCAAGTTGATACACGATTATGTTGACACCAGCCAATTGTTTTGGATACTGAAAGTTCTTGTACAGCATTACCTACATAGTTTGCAAACCATAATTGCTTGTTTTTTTTAAAAAAAAGTTTAGCAAACTTCACTTCTCAAATTAAGAAAGCTGTCAATCAACCTTCTCTCATACTTTAGACAATGCCATTCTATTATTACTGTTAGTATGCAAAAATGTCAGGACTCACTGTCTGATTTCTGCTACCTAGTCAGACCTGTTCATACCCTTCTGATAATTGACTGAAGTAAGAATGCCTTGTCAGAAAGCATTGCTGTGAAACCTTTTCCTGGTATATCGATAAACCAATTCAATGTGCCATACACCAGACAGCAAAAAGTACTCGTCTGCCCCCCCATCCCCCCATTGCAAAATCATTTTAAAAAAGTATTTTGGGAGATGTATATGCTAATCCTTGCACCTATAATGTCTCAAGATAATTAATGGGTAACTGCTGTAAAGTATAGTGACTATATTTGGAAACAGGCACTGTATTCGTAAATTTTCACGTAGCAATCTGCCTACAAGCAGTCATGACCGAATAACCAATTTAATTTGGAGAATGCTGACTGGGACACTGGGAGAAACTCGCTTCTCTTTGAATAGCAACATGGACACCTCCAACAATGCAACAGTCCCACCCAAGTACTGCACCGTCGTGTCAATCTACACTGCGAGCTCAAAGCCCCAACTTGGTGTTTGAACCCAGTACCACTTATCCAGACGCAAGACTGCTAACAACGAAGCCAAGCTAAAACCATTTCTCGTTAAAAAAAACATGTATCTCTACCTCACTATGATGTTAGAGATACCTCACCTCAAACCAGTACCACAGTTTAGTTGCTTGCAAGGTGAAATCAAATGCTTCTTCTCTCTATAGCTCCATTTTTCTATATTCAATTAGTCTTTCAAAACTTTTTATTGTCTATGTCTTAAATGCATTCATTTGTCACACAAAAGTTCAGTGCTGATTGCCTATATCAATAAATTTGTGTATGATAATGTTCTACTGTGTGGTTATATTGTTTTAAGTATGAAATATTATTTCAATTACATCACAATTTCAAAATCAAACATAAAACTAGAACAGCAACTTCATATATTGCTAAAAAAAATGTACTTTTCCTCACTGAAACTTAATAATAAGCATAATTTTACAATTATAGTTAATATTTTCAAAATCAGTTGAAATCATTTTCTTGCATCTGTGCAGCATGTAACTATGTGGTGCAGTATAACATAATTTGCAGCAGTAACAAGTGAATGTTCACTCCAGAGAATTGGTGCCAGGGTGAAATTTAGATCGACAGGACGAAGCCCAGACTGTGGCTTTCCTGCTACGGCTATTCAATTATGTCAGTTGGGCAAAGTGGTTGCCCAAGACGATGATTCATTTTAGGGCTGTACAAACAGGTGTATGCAAGCATGAATCCAAACCAGAACCCAAAGCCATTAGTTGATCTGTACCTACACAATGCATTCACTGGAGGATAACACTGAATGACTTCATCAGTAGGATTTCACAAAATCCTCATTATCATCACACTACCATTTGAACAGTGAATCATTGTACATTACATAAATTAAAATTTATTTTCTTTTTGGAATAAAGCGACCTAAAAAATACATTTAAAAATAAGGTATCCTATTTATGTATCTTTGTAGGTCTGAAAAACTCATGATTTGTGAAATAGACCTTGAACCATAAACATTTAAAAAGTAATACACTATCAGAAATGTCCTATGAACATTGGATACATTGCACTATTGCCTTCCTAACAGCCTCTTAACCCAACATCAAGCAATTGAAATGCATGCCAGTTTGTTTAACAAGTTTTGTGAGAAACGGAATGTGGATACAAAAATCAGCATTGGACTTTGAAAAATACAACCTTAGTGCAGTTTTAATTAGATTAACTAGTAACATATTTTAAAATAACATAGCTAGTGATTTCCACTGAAAAACACCTGCTCTGAGCCAATCGGATTGCCTTGGATAATGTAACATCAAGAGCTGTGGTACATAGAGAACATGGACTAGGGAACATATAATAATAGTAATAATATAATAATCCTTGCATTTGATATAGCGCTTTTCACATCTTCTAGCAGTCTCAAAGCGCTTCACAGAATATACTGTAAAGTGTATTGTGTATTGTATATACTAAGCCTCAATTATAAACACACCCAATTTACCTTACCTACAAAGTGCATGCCTTAGACAAAGTATACAGCAGGACAGCTTGGTAAACCCTTTGTTCATTTGACCTGAAATTAAGGTGCAACTTGTTCTACTAGGGCAGATAAAATAAATTGTTATGTTTATGAACAATAAGCAATACTAGGGTTTTGGTGCTTTTAACCCTATTCCAGTTCTCAAATCACACCACCACCTACTCCCTTTGCTTTTAATAGATTCTTAGATCTCATGGTCAAAATAATAGATAACTTGAGAAATATTGAACAAGGTTTTTTCAAAAAAAGACACAACAAAACTGAGATTTTAAGTTAGTGCATGCTTGCATTTTTTTCCTTGAGGTCTTCATTCATGATTTGTGGAAACTAGTTAAAGGGAAAACACTTTTGTAGTAGCAAAAACAAACTTACAAGCAGTTTTAGTACCACTCTACAAATTTTATAAATGTACAACAATACTTTAACTGAGTATTGACTAAGCAATCTTTTAGTTATCAAAATGACAGTTATAAATACAGCGTGCAACAGATTTTCCTCCATCTTGCAAGTAAAAAAAGAGCATTACTATATCCTAACACAATATACCACTTCAATTCTTAAGTAATTGATCTTTTTATAATAAACAGTTTATGTACACATAAAACCGGATAAAATATTTTCTCTCAATCCTGTCAAGAAAAAAGACAAGTGCATTTATTATAGTTCCAATCTCATTATGCCATATATATTCTGCCCTTATGTTATTCTAACCATTATTATTCTCTAACCTTCCCACTAGACCATTGAAACATACCAAAGATTTGCTTATAACAGTTTTGAAGCAGAACTTCAATCACCAATTGAAAGAAATCTATGAAGAACTGCCCAAAAGAGAGCTTAACACCATATATAATCTGTTCAAGAGCTCCTTGGGGCAACTAAAAGTCTTAGTTACCTCCCAGTCAGGTTCTGCTTGCTTTCCTCTAACTCCAGACTGATGAGAATACCTTTTAAACCAGAAACCTCATCTTCAACATGCGATGACTGGCCCCAATTTCAATTGAATATGACAATGATACATTTAACACAAAATGTTTCTGAGGTTCTTCAGTAAAAACAATCTAGCTTCAAAATGATTTTAAAATTTACCAAAAATGTGCATCTATAGAAAGTTGGCAGCAGCTGAAAATCCAGTGACACTCGTTTGGGAAATTATGGATGGCTCCTTCAAAACATGCTTTACCAATTGTTAAGGTTTGAATTCAGTGTTTAGTTTCAACACTAAAAATTGTGAGGGCCACACAGCTTTAAGATGTAATCTGCTGCTCCCTGAATAATAGTTGGTTTAATAAGAACTAGCATAATTTCAAACAAGGATCACACCATATCCTTCAGAACCTACTAAAATCAGGTAATCCAAAGGATTTATTCTGAATTTATTGTCCCATAATGAAGAAACACATAGTAATTCTACATCAAACTTACGTGGAGAGTTGTGGGTTCAGGCAGAAAGTCAACATCTTCACCAAAGATGAAGTCTGGAGGCAGGTCTGGGTAATGACAATTGAAAATAATATCCCCTTTTAAAAAAAAAGCACAAAACAGTTCCAGTTTTAAAAACAATTCAATTATTCGTGATGCAAGCGACAAGAGGGAAATAAATTGAAAAAACTAAGGCAAATGGGGACATTAGGATAATTATTTTCATCCTCTGAACTCAATTAGTTGAGCTTCAGATTTAGAAATATTTTTGGACTCAAATTCCAGTGGATCCACTCAGTTTTTTACCCTTTCAAAATATCTAAAGTAAAATACTACTTGAGGAAGGAAAGCAGTGCCCCCTGGATCTGTACTTAGCAACCCACAAAATTTGAGACATCTGATTTGAAAGGCATAGTATTAAATGTAAGGATTATTATTTTACTTTGAAGCACACTCCAAAACTATCACATTTATATTTATTTGATTAAACTACAATAATCTCCAAATTATTACCATTGTCATTTTGTAATCTCCAAATATTCAACAACAACTTGCATTATAAAGCACCTTCACGCGGGGTGAGGAAGCGCTTCATATAACTTAAATATAACATATAAATATAACTTAATGCTTACATTTTAATGTTTCTCCAGCATATGGAATGTGCAGTTTAAACCTGTCACAACAAGGTCCGGGTGTTAGGGATGTACAACTGAAAGCAGGAACAGAAAGCAAATCTTAATTAAAAAACACGAAAGTAGTGGCAAACAATATACATCAACCAAAACCTGGGATATTGACCAGATATCAAAACAGCCATCATTCTAATAACTAAAATCTGTTAAACTCACAAAGTGTGAGAGATCAAAATGACATCAACAACAAAAACATTCCTTCCTTTGCGTACAAGTTGTTTCCTTCTTTCTAAGGGAGAATCCAAATATTGAATAATTGTTGAACCATATTATTAGTTAATATCTAATTAAACCTCTGCAACGAACTAATAACCTTCTAAGTTATCTTTTTCATGCCCCCACTCCCCCTCCCATATCCACTAAAAGAGCATTTTGGTACAGTAAATTGTAGATTAAAAAAGAGGTTCAAGTATCATATTGAACAAATTGAACAATGAAGGTTAAATTACCTGAGTCAGTGTAGGGGAAGACAATTATTACTTTAATGAGACAATACAAATATTAGAATACTTGTAAAATCACTATTTCCCCAAATCAAATTTTATTCTCTTCCAAATTGAATGCAATGGTTTTCCACATCAACTGTTATTGAGCTAGAAGCTTCTGATGTGATCATTAATTTTTCCCTACATCTCCAAGTTTGCCTTGGATACTGAAGGCCCGCCTGCCTGGCTTGCTGAACGATTTAACTGGGCAAAACATTGAGTAAACGATAATTCAGATGTACCAACAAAAGGCAGGGTATGGACAATCTTTTTACAGAAAGCAATGAAAATACCAACAATCATCAAAAAATAATGTAAAATAAACACGCAACCCTTGACTGGAGCTTACCTACCCTGATTTAAGGTCAGTTATTTTTAGGATGTTTGTAGCGTCTAAACCAATTTTTCCATTTCTGACCACACTGGATATGAAGGGACGAAGTGCAGGAGAAATTCTGTTTAAGGCAACCTCTGGTGACATTTTGACTCAATAATCTCCACCTGTCAACGTCCAACCAACAGGACAGATTGCAACACTAAATATTCAAAGAAAAAGGCACAAGTTAAAATGTGACCAAACTGAAGATATTCTGTGAATAAAAAGATGGCTTGAAACCTAAAAGTTCCCACTACACATTGAAGCAAATGTATACTGGCAAAATTTAGATCAACTTTGTTTCATAAATATTTCAATTAAATTCAAACCCTCGGGCAGTGCCTGAGGTTTTTAAGGAAGCAGAAGAGTAGTTTTCTTACGTGTGATAAAATATCTGCTAAGAGGCTATGAATATGTTAGCATATGATAACAATGGTACCTTTAACATGTAAGTTATTCCTATTCCTGGTGAAGTTCTAACAGCCTTATTGTCCTGCAATAAAGCAATAAGATTAATGGTATCCACTTAAACAATGACTGATGACACCATTTCAGGAATCATACGAGACTGGAAAATAATCCAATCAAACAATATGATCTGTTGGACAGCACAGCTTTGGAATTTTTTGGGTTCACCCAGATATGTGGAAACACATCACCTTAAGTAAGAGTATTCCAACCAGTTTGTCACTAGTTCCATGGAATGGCACCAACACATGGAAATTTTATCATGGAATGTATGAGGTGTCCCCAAAGAGTAGTAAAGAGTATAGAGAAAGAGAAGGTAATTGAGATTAGCATGAGTTCATGGGGGTTTAAACACCACAGGCAAAATAGGCTGAATGGCTTCTTACTGTGTCATACATTTCTATGTTTCTATGATTTACCTTTCCTTATTTGAATGGAATCCTTCCCTAACATCATCAGCAAACCTTGCCTTTAGAAGTGGCCCTTCATAGGTCTTTCCTTATCACCATTGATGGAACAAGTCATTAAACAATTGTATAATGACTTGTTCCATCAATGGTGATAAGGAAATACCTATGATGGGTCACTTCTTGGAATTATAAAGTTCATAAATCCATTCCGGTCAGCAAGTTTATTGATAGTCTATCTGTGTCCCATCACTTAACTCCTCGCAAAATGTTGATGCATTTTAGGGCTCCTATGGTAAGATATTTTTCAGACGTTAGGACAGCCAGATGGATTGCAATTATCCTTTTTCAGTCCTGTACATTCCTATGTTTTGCATTTGTTCAGCACTAAGCTAATAACTTGTAATAAAATGTAGTTATCCAGCAGTTATGCCAAGGTTGATCTTTGAACCATTATAAATTCCACAATACCACAAATATTACTGTAACAACACAATCAACAGAAATGGGAGCAGAAGACTGGGTAGTGCAGTGGGTTCATACAGAAGTCTTTTATAAATTCATCTCTGGATTTAATTCACCCGGGGCGAATGGCCTTCTTCTGTGCCATACATTTCTATGGTTCTATTGAATAGAAATCTCCTTGGTGTGTCAGTTATGAGAGCCCTATTTTAAATGGATTCTGATTAGTGTGAACCCAGGCCTCAACCATAATCTTGAGTGTACAACACAGAATGGGGAGCGAGAGGATTCATAGATTATACAGCTGAGAATCAGGCCATTTGGCCCACCCAGTCTGACTGATGTTTACACTCCACACAGATGCCTGTTCCTAGATCCTACCCCTAGTCCCATGTCTCGGCTTCTCCCCCATATCCCTCAACTTTACTGTTTAACCACGGTGTCTTTTTTTGAATGTGAACATGGTTGCCTCCCCAACAAAGAGAATCCCACACTCCTACCACTCTGTGTGAAAAGGCTTTTTCTAATCTCCATTCTGAGCCTTCAAATTCTTATTTTAAAACTATGCCCTCTAGTTACAGACACCACTCACTACTGGAAATAATCTTTCCCTATTTAAGCCTCCCATCATCTTATATACCTCTATCATTTCACTTCTCAGCCTTTTGAACTCCAAAGAAAAAAGCCTATGTTTATCAAACTTTTCCCTATAATTGCATTTCCTAATTTTAGACAACATCCTGGTGAATTTTCGCTGTACCATCTCCAGCACCTTAACATATTTCCTATAATGAGGAGCTCAAAACTACACACAGTATTCCAGCTATGGCCTGACCATCATTTTGTACATTTTCAACATGATCTTATGCTTATATTCTCGCTATAAATCCCAAAGTCCCATTGGCTTTTTAATGACCCTATAATAATAATAATCCTTGCATTTGATATAGCGCTTTTCACATCTTCTTGACGTCTCAAAGCGCTTCACAAAATATACTGTAAAGTGAATTGACTGTATATTTGTGGGCGAAACGCAGCAGCCAATTGCGCACAGCAGTGTCCCACAAACAGTCCTGGATTGAAAATGACCAATTTATTATTGTTTTTTTTGAGGGATTATTATTATGATTATCGCTGCCTTCAGGAACATGTACTACTTGATCCTCTGTTCTTCTACCCCTTTAGGATTTGCTCCCTATAAATTATAGGTTATTCCTCTTGAAATGAAATACTGAACTCCATCTGACACTTGTCTGCATGGACGGAGGAAATTAAAGAAAAGAATAAAACAGCGCCATAAGCCGAACAGATTGCAACTTTTGTCAGTCATCTTTTAGGCACCACCCTAACGTTCTTCTGCCTTAAGCCAGCCCCATCCATTTGCCTACAAATCCACAGTCAAGTGCTCAAGACATTGAACAATCCTGAAGTAGAGCACAGCGAGTTAGCTCCAAATTCCCCAAAAGATTATACCAAATTTCAGCAGATCCAGAACTGATCGATAAGGCTGGCATATTTGCCTGCCCGCTTTACCTGCTCATTCTTCCTGCCCAATATCTCCGGATTAGAATTAGCTAAAGAAAGGCTCCACCAACACATCAGGAAGAAATACCTCCAGAGAGCACAAAATAACCTGTCACTTACTACTCTAGTGAGCAAGGAGGGCAGAACCCACTATGAAACATGTGTGAACCACACTATCTGTCGGTCCACAATAAGATGGCCCCGTCCAGCCTCAGACCGAACCCACACTTGACTTATCAATTCAGGGACAGTCTAAGTTCTCCGCAAAAGGGCAAAAAAGCCACAAGAGAGATGCGAAAGCAGTTACGACAGCCTGAGCCATCTTCAGCAGATTCCCAATGTTAGCAGCAGTACAGACGTTGGCAGAGACGATACCAAACCGAGTTGCGTGCAATGCCAGCGCCCTCGTGAGATATTGCGCAACACATCTTCCAACAGCTTTTAACACAAAAATCAAGAGCCGCTACCACCTGCCGCATTTTATCCTTATATTTACCAAGGGAGAGAACGCGCCCAGTCAAATCAGAGCACTGACCTTGAAATACAGGTACTTAATTTGTGAGGAACGACTGAAAAACTCATCCCTCCGCACGACCAACGTGTACACACGCGGAAAAAAAACCCCTACTTTCACTCCACACCTTTTCAAGGTTTCTCGTTTTCAAAACATTTTATGTAGAAAAAAAATTCCTGGCCACGTCACATTCTTGCGCGCGCGACCTTTTGTTTGTTTTATAATAATAATAATAATAATAATAATAATAATCCTTGCATTTGATTACATTTCACGTCAGGAGGACGTCCCAAAGCGCTTCACAGAACACACTGTAAAGTGAATTGACTGTATATTTGTGGGCGAACGCGGCAGCCAATGGCGCACAGCAATGTCCCACAAACAGTCGTAGATTGAAAATGACCAATTTAATTATTGTTTTTGGTTTTGGAGGGATTATTATTAGGCTCTGTGTGGAGTAAGGAAACTTGCCCAAGGTTTCGCCCTCTGCCTGGAATTGAACTCAGGTCTCTCACTTGCAAAGCGAGCGCTCTAACCACTGAGCTACAGGACTCCACACATATATATATAAAAAAGAGCGAAAACTGTCTTCCCGCAAAAAGAGCAGGCCAATTTATTCGAACGCCGCCAACCGCCAAATAATAACAACAATAATAATTTGGTCACCTCAACCCGCGGCTGTTATTGCCGGGCGCGCAGTCTGGCCGCCGCGTTTCGCCCGCAAAAATCATACAGTCGGTTCGCTTTTACGGTGCATCCCGCGAGGCGCCTTGAGACGGCTCGAAGACGTGAAAGGGCGCCGTGTCAAACGCAGGGACCATCCTATCATTATAACCCAACCGGGAGGGAAGAAACAATTAATTCGTGTGTTTATACCCCCCTCCCCACCCCCTCACTCCCCCTCCCCCATGTCCCTTTTTTAAAAAAAAACTGTATAAAAATAAATGCGTTTTTTTTAAAAAAAAGAGCTACTTTAGCCGAACTATTCAAATAAGTACCAGAAACGGGCCGCAAAAGCCTGGGCCTCGGGTATAGGCGTGGAGAGAGAGATGGTGATGTCGGGGAGGGAGGGAGAGAGGGAGAAGGTACCTGTGTGATGAGGTCCCATTAACACACACACACACACTGACTGACTGACTGACTGACTGACCCGCTCGCGCCCGTTCGTCCGTCCGCCCGCGCGCGCGCCGCCCAACTGCCGCCCGACTGACCGTTTATTTTTAAATCTAACGGCTCAAACTCACCAGAAGTTTCTGTGCTGTCGGCCTGAGCCCGGGCCTGGGCCTGAGGGAAGGGGAACCGGCGCCCACAGTCGCTACCTCTCCTCTCTCTCTGTCTGTCCGTCCGTCTGTCTCCCTCCCGCCCTGTTTTAATATTTCTTTTTCTTCAGTATTATTATTTTTACACACACACACACACACACACACAAGGCGTCTCAAGACACCCCTTTTCCCACCACCACCGCCACCGCCAGTTAGCACCGACACGATTTCGTCGGCAAGTCTTTTATTTTTGTAAGAAAAGCTTCAACCCCCCCCTCAGCCCTCACCCCCCCCCCCAGCCCTCACCCCCCCCCCCTCAGCCCTCACCCCCCCCCCCAGCCCTCACCCCCCCCCCCCCCCCCCCCCCTCAGCCCTCACCCCCCCCCCCTCAGCCCTCACCCCCCCCCCCCCAGCCCTCACCCCCCCCCCCTCAGCCCTCACCCCCCCCCCCTCAGCCCTCACCCCCCCCCCCCTCAGCCCTCACCCCCCCCCCCCCCTCAGCCCTCACCCCCCCCCCCCTCAGCCCTCACCCCCCCCCCCCTCAGCCCTCACCCCCCCCCTCAGCCCTCACCCCCCCCCCCCTCAGCCCTCACCCCCCCCCCCTCAGCCCTCACCCCCCCTCAGCCCTCACCCCCTCGCAAACACACAAGAGGGATGAAATGAAGAGGATCTCGTTGATTTGATCTCGTTTTTTAAGTCGGACCGTTGATTTTTTTTTGGGTGGTGGGTGGGGGTGTGTGTGTGTGTGTGTGTTTGTGGGGAGAGGCCTTGTGCTGAGGGGGGGGTCCAAGTACTGACCTCTGCACCGAACCGCCTCGGGCTTTCCCAGGACTCTCAAGTCAACCAGAACTTCTCCTCGGTTTTATTTCTGTTTATTTTATCTATTGGCTTCTTTCCACCCTCCTTTGAGGGTCGGGTGTACGGTGTCGGCTATGACCTGCCTCACGCCAAGTTTTGATGTGGTGGTTGTAGGTTCCTGTATGACTGACCTGGTCAGGTCGGTGCAACTCTTCTGTTTCCTCTCGAGTCGGTCTCCGCCCTTACGGTACCGCGTCTCCTGCGGCGAAGCGCTCTCGAGACGTCTCGGCAGCGTGCTCAGGCGCGAGCCGTATCGAGCGCAAGGGCGGTTTGCCTACTCGACGGGACGGTCTGTCGCGCGAAGCGCTCCCGAGACGTCTCGGCAGCGTGCTCAGGCGCGAGCCGTATCGAGCCGCAAGGGCGGTTTGCCTACTCGACGGGACGGTCTGTCGCGCGAAGCGCTCTCGAGACGTCTCCGGAACTCGCATCCCGCGGTCCCTTCGCCTCGCTTCCTCCGAGGCCGGTCTCGAGACCCTCCTCTTCGATCGTGCCTTCGGTCGCCCTTCCCACCTCTCTGCTTTCGCTCGCCCCCCCCCCCCCCCCCCCCCCCCCCCCCCCCCCGCTCGGGTCCCGACCCCTGACTGTCCAGCGCCTTGGGACGTCCTCCTGACGTGAAAGGCGCTCTATAAATGTAATTTTGTTGTTGTTGTATATCAAGCACAAGGGTTGTTACTCTTAGTATTGTTTCACAGAACTGAAATTTGGTTTGCTGGGTGTAGTTTTTAAAATCTGTGTTGATTTTCACCTCCAATTTTTGTTGTCCTTCTGCTTCTCCTCAAGTTGTTTCGTGAAACACTCTTCATTTTTGTCTATTTTCTCTTTTCTGCTTAGGACACAGAATCTGTGATCAATCTTCGATAACAGTTAGGAGCAGACGTGTGTCCACTCTGTAGTTCAGGGGTTCTGAGGTTAATTTGTTAATTTGTGTGTCAACCTGGCTCAGTAGCCTCTGGCCTCTGAGTCAGGAGGTTTTGGGTTCAAAGCTCCAATTTGGGCCTTAATAATAATAATAATAATAATCCTTGCATTTGATATAGCGCTTTTCACGTTGGGAGGACGTCCCAAAGCGCTTCACAGAACACACTGTAAAGTTGAATTGACTGTATAGTTGTGGGCGAACGCGGCAGCTAATTGCGCACAGCAATGTCCCACAAGCAGTCGTAGATTGAAAATGACCAATTTAATTGTTTTTTGTTTTTTTGGAGGGATTATTATTGGTGTGTGGAGTAAGGAAACTTGCCCAACGTCTTGCCCTGCCTGGAATTGAACTCAGGTCTCTCACTTGCAAAGCGAGTGCTCTAATCACTGAGCTACAGGACTTGAACTTGAGCCTTGAACTCACATAGTCTAAGCTGACACTCCAGCCGTTGCTGGAAAGTGTGATGCACTGTTGGAGGCACTGACCTTCGGTTCAGATTTTAAACTGAGGCCCAGTCTGCCTGTTCAAGTGGACATTATGAATTCCATGGCACTATTCAAAAAGTGAAGGGATTTTCTACCAGTGTTGCGGCTAACAATCCCCCCCAAAAAAATTGTCATTCAAAATTGGTCATTCCTGACTGTTTTGGGGACAATGCTGCGCACACATGAGTTGCCGTGTTTGCGCACAAAACACGCAATCACTGAACTTTACAGTAAATTCTGTGAAACACTTTGGGACATCCTCTTAACATGAAAGGCACTATACCAAATGTCAGGATTATTATTATGAAGCTGGAAATGTACATATATCCAGAAGTGGCAGATAACCAGGTTCAACATGGCTACATTATTTAATAATAACAACAATAGCAAATATTAAACATCTCAAGCATCTATCCTTCAAGTAAAACAATCTCAATATTTACAAACCATATTGTAAATATTTTATAATATCTCAAATCAACAATGAGGGTGAGTAGCTAATTAGATTGAATTTGGAGAATGTAAACCAGAAAAACCCATACTTCTTCTGGTGCCTATTTACTTTGAGTTTGTTTTTACCAAAGGTCAAATGAAAGTTTGTTTTTATTTGTTTAGGAAACTTTAGGTCATTGTAGGCATCTTTCAAGCTTCTCTTTTAGTTAGTTACATTGGTGTGGGCATTATAGCTGGCTGGTAGCCCACCATTTTCTAGTGCAGATGTTTGTAACTTTCTTGAGATGCTAGGTATTACAGCTAAGAATAGGATAAATTGGACTTTCACATTCACTCTTGCTAGAAGTCATATTGCATCTCTTCCTGCAATATAAACATAGAATTAAAACTGTTTCACTATATTCAGATGATATATCATTCAGCAAATTTTGTTTATTGTTTCAGTTCTTTATTTGTTTAATGTTTTGATTTTTAAAATCCAGTATTATTCTCTTGTTTAACCTTCATTGCATTTCAGATACAGTAATCCTAACATTTTCATATTATGGTTATTGGTCCAAGCACACATTCAAGGTTTCTAAATCAGCAGATTCTTATATAAGCCAGGAAAGCATCCACCTAATAACATTCTACAAACTGAACATTAAAAGAGTTAAACATTTTTTGCTGCTTTTGATCTTTTAAAATGGTTACTTTCAAAGTTACCAAAGTTAACTTGGTAACTAGCGATATTCTTTTCACTTCAAAACAAATTCTGGGTAACAGCCAGCATTGTCCCGATCTCTCTGTTTGTGCTCCCTATTTTTTCTGTGTTCAGATCTCCTACTGTTTTGTTTTTATTAAAACTTCAGAGCAATTTTCCCACTCAGTCAGCAACTGATTGAGATGCTGACATAATGGACCAAAAGTATTGTGTAAGCATTCTACCAGAAGTGTATTGTGAGGCATGATCATGTGCTTGTGACACAATGTCAGTGGAGAAAAATAACTGCAGATAAACTTGGCAGTCCTTTAAGTTGCTAGATTTGCTAACTCTTTTCTAAATTCACAATTGTCACGATAACCTAATAATGATGCACTGTTCTATTACAGAGTACCCCGTATTCATTTATTACATTATCTCACATTGAATTGGCCACAATGAATGTCTAAAGTTCATCGGCTAACTGGTTTACACATGTGAAGATGTCTCATTAATTGTGGTATGGCATTGATATAAATACCATATAAGCTACAACATGCTGCTTATTTGATGTTTAAAAATAAAATGTTTCCCACAAAAATACAATGAAAAAGCAATTGTACAGCATCTTTTCACTATAGCAGCCTAGACTTCAGGTTTAGAAGCATTGGAGCCCAAGTTGCTGCAGACTGTTTTAATAAAAAATTACAAATCAGCTGGTAGCAAATTTGATATAGTGGAAAGTTTAGGTATTTCTTGTTTGTGTGGTTTGACTGAGTTAGCATTGGCCCACTTGATCATAACTTTACAATTCTGCATATCCTCTCATTTAAACCGTTTAAAAATGGCATTGTACAATGTTTATTTTTATTTTTTCAGGGCTTTTAACTCCATACCGTTTATACCTGAATGTGAATAGTTAGAAGATGGTGTTCTTTCAAATGTTTTCCAGACCTCGCAGAGCCATTGCTGTCTTTTTTCCGGCTCTACTTTATATTGACTATTTTACTTTAATTGTATGTAGTTGCAACTAGTGCAGCTTTTTTTTTAAATGATGCTTTTCTGTCTTTCTGATCATGTTGTCTATTTTGGAAACCATGCAAAAAAAAATGACTTTTGTGGAAAATTGAATTCTACTTTTGAGTAATTGTTACCATATGTTTAAAGATTTATATTGAAATACCTTTCCAAAAACACTGAAGGGGTTTTAGAAGATTACTTAAGATGGTATTGTTAAAGAACCCAGCTTTATGCCATTGAATTGGTCAACTGTGCATCTTCCAAAAGAGGATTTTAGCCCTGTGATTATTTGCCTATTCAAACTGTTAGAGTCTGACGAGCAACGCAGTACTTTGTAAAGTTCAAATCCTGCAGCCAGACCTGCTTATTTTGTCTTTCAACTTTGCTTGATTGATTTGTATTTCCATGTTTTGGGTTGATCATTAAAGAATCATGATCCATACAGGAAAAGTGATTCATTAATGAATTATGACATACCTCCTGGTTTTATTCTAAGAGGATAAACTAACACAATGAGTACCTAATTTGTATTTTCTTACAATTTCCTTTCCATTTTCAGTAAGACACAGGAATTTATCGAAAGCAAGGAAGCTGTTCAGGGCATTTCCTTTAAATTTGTGATTTGCTTCCTCTTCCTCTTAACAATGGACTAAATGTTTGTAGTAAAACTTAAGTCATATCTGCACATAAAACCAGAGTAAATAGCACAGTTTCTGGTAAGAGCACAAAGTGACGCAGAATGCAGTCGTATATCATGAAGTCCTGTAGCTCAGTGGTTAGAGCACTCGCCTTGCAAGCGAGACACCTGGGTTCAGTTCCAGACAGGGCGAAACCTTGGGCAAGTTTCCTTACTCCACACGCCTAATAATAAGCCCTCAAAAAAAAATTGGTCATTTTCAATCCACGACTGTTTGTGGGACATTGCTGTGCGCAATTGGCTGCCGCATTTCGCCCACAAATATACAGTCAATTCACTTTACAGTCTATTCTGTGAAGTGCTTTGAGATGGCGAGAAGATGTGAAAAGCGCTATATCAAATGCAAGAATTATTATTATTTGAAGAATACAAGTTTGAAATGATGTATTTACAAAACATCTTCCTGTCTTTTGCAGAATGCACGACTGTCTTGTGTCAATTGGATTTTAAAGGTTTTTCAGAGACATAGACCCATAGTTTATTTTGCTTTAAAGTTGTTATTTTAGCATTCCTTTGGGGGGAAACCATTTGATTCAACTGATTCACATGGATTGCTCTTTAAAAGATACAGACACGGTGGTCAGAATGGCCTTCTTCTGAGTTGTAAATTCCTGTGGTTCTATGCAGCACAGAAACCACCCTTTTTTGTGCAGCTAATTTCGATTTGGTGAATTTTGTGCTTTTAAAGGTTAGAATGTTAGTGAAGAATGCTGGAAAATAGAATATCCCATTTTGTAGCCTTAGTGTCATTATCCCGGGTTAAGTTGATGAGTGAAATTCCCTGTGCTCTGTCCCTATAACCTCCATCTTCAGAAGAAGCACCCCATTTTGCAATACAGTATTTTTAATTTCCTAAATCTGATGCCCCCTTGGAAACAGTTTGCCAATTTAAGAATGGTTCTGTGCTATTAGGAACTGGGGATAAGACAATCTGGTTCAATTTCACAAATAGCTCATATTTAGTTTTCTATGATTGTGGACATCACCAGATTCGTTCTATTTTGTATGACAAGTTCTGCAAAAGAACACATCAATATTCTAAGATGATCAAGTGAAAACTCCAAAACATTTTTCGGACATTTCAGTCAGCCCTATTGTTCATTTACCCTTTGTTTTATATTAGTATTGTAGTGGTATCAGGAAACTTAAGTCACAGTGTGATGAAACATATTGCATAATTTTTACACCAGTTCTTTAAATATTTGCACCCTCATTGTTATAGGGAATATGACCTTGATTTCAGATTCCACAGTAAAATTAAACTCACATTTGAAGTACTGATATAACAAATTCCTGCATCTGGGCTGATGTGAAAAATGCCATCAAATTCTAATTTAACTTCCATAAATAGGTGGGAGATTGGATGATTTTTCTGATGAGCATACAGAGTTCGGTTACTGAAGAAACTATTTTTTAGCCATCGCGACATGAAGATGATTTTATTTATTTATTTGAAAATCTCTTGCAACAAATCAGGGAATTCGGAGACTTGGGAAGTAGTTTCCTTGAAAGACATGAAGTCAGCATAAGCTAATTTTCATGTCTAAAAGACATGAAAAGCACTATATCAAATGCAAGGCTTATTATTATTATTTATTAAGCAGGTAGCCAGTAAAAATATTTTATGTTAAGTCGACTTTCCTGTATCTGGAGTTGTGTGCAATGACTATCTGGATGAAAGGACATTGTTTCTCTGTTTCTTGTTCTGTACCACTATTTCTGAGTGCTATTTACATTAATATTTCTGATTAGTCCGTGGACTCTTCTAAATGATCCTGTAAGTTCAGTAATGCTGAACCAGTTGGGTGATAATTGAAAATCTTTGAAGTTCCAAATCCACAAAATGTCTATGGCATATTCTATTCAAATAGCTTGCTAATTTCATCTAATCCTCTCATCATTTGTTTCTTTGTATCTGATCAAAAACTGGATCACTTGAAGGCCTATTGGTCCAAAAAGATATGGAATGGAAGGGAGATGAATGGAAGATCTAAATGGGACAAAAAAATAATTTGCTGACGAGAATGATTAGCAAATATAGACTGTTCCATCTCATGCAGCTTTTATTAACTTTCTGAAAAGTTATACAGAGCGTTTACCTAAACCTGGAGAAACTGTACGTGGCAAGAAATTTTTAACTGGGTTTGGAGGAAAAGGAGCTAACCAGTGTATCCAGGCAGCACGCCTTGGAGCCAAAACAGCAATGGTTTGCAAGGTAAGGTTTTTTAAAAAAAATCACAATAATAATAAAAAACTCTTTGTCATTGAAACCGAGGACTTGGAGAAGGAAACTGTATTTTTATGTCCACAAATAATTGGTGTCTAGAATAATAGTGGCAATATTTTTATATGTAAGCATATATAGAACTGAAAAAGACTTAGTCCACCTAAAGGTTATGCACTGAGAGACCTAAGTGAAAGTCAAAAATGCCAAGTTGCAAAAGAGTAGGAAAATAATATAAGATGGCTTATGAAGATGTGGTTATATAATGCCTAATTTGGGATTCAAGAGTGTAGTCAGACTGGTACAGAAACTTGCATGATCCTGCTGATAACATTGACTTCCCCAACAGAGCTGTTCCCAATTATGACTACCAGTTTTGACTGCCCAGACAATTTCTGCCCAACTAGTTCAATTTGTATTTGTTTAATTGTTAATAATCTTCTTCAAAAGGTTCACTTACCTTCCTCTTCAAGCACATCTACAGCCACTTTCCCAAAGCTCCACCACTGTTAACAGCTCCGAGACTAATCCGCGTGAAGGGGGCTATATAAGTGCAAGTTGTTGTTGTTCACACTCAAAATATTTTTAAAAATTGCAAGTATATTACATACACTGGATAGATTTCACTGACTAGTTACCACATCACAAAATTGTAACACATTCAGGAGAAATGGCCTGTTACTTTGTGATGTCTGTCTGGTATCTATGTTGTTCAGAATCACTGAAATCTCCAACGTTGTTTCCGTGACCAATCTTGGGCCAAGTATGGAGGAATGCGAGAGAAATGAAAGTAACAACACAACACTGTCTTTATTGTAAAATGTTTCATTTTAATAGCATTGCTTATAGTGGCATATAATAAATTCAGATTGAGCTTTTTTAAGACAGAATTCACAAGGTAGCCATTTCAAGAAGCTGTCACCCATTGTTTCCCATTGCTCTTTCACTCTACAGCTTGGGAATGATTCATTTGGAAATGATTACGTTGAAAACTTTAAAACAAATGGTGTTTCTACAGGTACTTCTTTAAAACATTTTTTCCTTTACGAGGAAAGTGTGAATCTGGTATTATGACTGGTCTTTTGAATATTTCACAATGAACTCTGTTTTATACTGTGCAATCAGTAGAAAGTGGGTGTCTCCAATAATTGTGTCAAAACCTTTTCGGAAAGATCAATGCTACATTCAATAACAGAATAATATGTCATGTTGCACAAACTAAAAAAGTAAATTAATTTCTTTCGGCAGATTATTTGAGCCAGACAGAGGAAGCCCGAACTGGAGTTGCCCCTATCATGGTGAATGATGAAGGTAAGTTAGAATCAACATTTTCATGCTTTATCTTACGACAACTTCTTCATGGAGGAATGAATGCTGTTGTTTTATCAATCATGCAGATATGAGCTTAGCTCAGTTGGTTGCACTCTCCTGTTAAAGATTCCAGAGCACTGTTAGAAAAGAGACGGGAGTTTCTTTCAGTGCTTGGCCAATAATCCTCCAGATAGAAATTGGTCATTCACTTCATGGCTCTTTGTGGGACATTGATTGCCTTGCACAAAATTGGCTCCCGTCTTCCCCTGCAAAATATAGTCACAAAACTTTATACAGTAGTGAATCCTGTGAAGTCTATCAGCTTGTCTAGAAGACATTAGGGCCTGGATGAGTGTAAACTTCCTGCAGCTGAATACGGACACGATGGAAACCATACTACTTGGCTCCCGTCAACGTCTTCACTCCTGCAGATCTAAACTCCTGAACCTCCCTGGGCTTTCCCTCAGACTCACAGAACCAGTGCACAATCTAGGCATCTGGTTCAATCCCCAGCTGTCCTTCCTCCCCCACGTCCGATCCCTGACCAGAACGGCATTCTTCCACATCCGCCACTATTGCCCACCTCCAACTGTTCTTTACCCCAAATGCAGCCGAAACCCTCGTGCATACGTTTGTCACCTCCCGCTTGGATTACTCCAATGTACTCCTCGCCAGTGTCCCCAGCTCCACCATTCACAAGACCGAGCTCATTCAGAACTCTGCCGCCGCCATACTGACCTGGACTAAACTCCGTACCCACACCTCACCAATTCTGGCCAGGCTCCACTGGCTCCCCATCACCGAAGGGATTGTCTTCGAGATCCTCACACTTGTGTTCAAATCCATTCATCCCTCGCACCCTCCACCCACCATTGGAGGTCGGGCTTTCAGCAACTAGTGCTCAATCTGGGCGTCAAAACTCTGGAACACTTTCTCTCAATCCCTCCGTCTTGACCCCCCTCTCCCCTTTTTCAAGTCCCGCCTGAAAACCTTCCTCTTCGACCATGCTTACGGCTGCCTCCCCCCCAGCTCGGAGTCAGGCTCCGCCACTGTTAAGCGCTCTGAGACACTACCTTGCGTGGAGTGCGCTAATTAAGTACAAGTTGTTGTTGTTGAAGCATTGTGAGATGTCATCCCCCACATACAAGGAGCTATATTAATGCAAGGAATATTACTATTGTTAAAAAAACAAAGCGCAATATAAATGCACCTTAACTTACTTGATTGGGAGTTGGGTCACTATAAAATGGCCTCCTGAATCCAGAAGGATGAGCAAGAACCAGATGCCCAATTAAAAATATCCTTGAAAAAATCACACAATTAAAAAAAATTGCAGAGTTATTTGATTTAATGTTTGAGTGGTAAATGTTTGCAGCTGTATAGAGGCTAGTTCCTGAGCTAGTCAATGCAAATAAATTGGTAGCTTTTAAAAGTGGGTTAATCAATATTTGGAACGTAAGAATGTCAAGAGATATGGAGAAAGAACAGAGTGAACATATGGATTAAAATATTTTTAAAAATGTGATAATTGAATAAAATCATGGGTCAGTCGTGAGAGGCCAAATGCCTTGCATTTTTAAGTTCATAAACTTTGGAGGAATGACTGTCTTTGACAATTATGGGCTTGACAGAATACTGGTGATGTCATTACCACTCATTATTTAAATGCAAAGTTTTGAATTTGTTTGGGAAAGTGATACTGATAGACTGATACCGTAAACTGAGCAACTTTTTTTTCTACATTTAGCAAACCTTATTAAGCCTCTTATAAATCATCTTGGTGTTTTTTTCTGTTACAGGACAGAATGCAATTGTAATCGTGGCTGGTGCAAATTTACTACTGAATTCAAATGATTTGCGAAAAGCTTCCAAAGCAATCATTCACTCTAAGGTGGTTTTGGGTCAGCTAGAAATTAGACCTGACATTACATTGGAAGCCCTCAGAATGGCACACAAGAATGGAGGTACACACTATGTCATACTGTGTTTATAAAGTTAGCAATGTTAAAATATCACCATGTGACATAGCAATAGTCAGTAAACTTACAATTCTTTTGTTTTCTCATAATACTTTTGATAATAAAGCACTATCATCTAGGTTCAATCTCTGGATATCCTTGAAAGGAGGTAGTAAAGTATGAGAGTAAACATATGGCAATGAGCACATACCCTCTGCTAAAATAAAGTAGGAATATTCTAGCTCTTTCAATATCATTTCTGCTAAACATGATAGCAGGCCTGAATGTGTCTCAGGGATCAAGCGGAAGAGTCCTGTGATGGTAAGAAAGTTATCCCATGTCTTGAAGAACTTACCAGGACACAAAACCAAGGATTTTACTTGCTCTAGCTGCATTTGACACTTGACATGTTCAACTTGGAAAGTTTTAAAGCTGAAAATGCCAGATTTGGCAATTAACTGTAATGTCAACAACAACAACAACTTGCATTTATATCGCGCCCTTCACGCGGGGAGCATCCCGGAGGACTTATGTCACATATAAACTGAAAAATGAACTGATATAGGATTTGACATATTTAGTCAGATAGCTAGATTTTTAGTTTGCCAATTTGCACAGATTTGAAAAGTTCCTGTCATATTAGTCAAGTTGTCATATTAGATTGTAGTGTTAAGGTAGTGAAATGGTAAACTCTACTTACTTCAATCCTGGTTGTCATGACGTTGCCATTAACTCTGATGTTGATTCAGTTGAGAAGTCAGTCATTGGAACAGTGACCTCATCACCGTATTTGATCATTGATTTCAGTTTCTTTATTTCTGGGGCCAAGCTTTACATTGCTCAACAAAGAGATTGCGTAAGCCTGTGATGGGCGTGTGTGCATGGTTAATGTTTTGCCATAATTGCTCAAGTACAGTTTTCACATCTGCCTCTTTTGAATGCCCCAATGCTGGTCTTTCACAAACTGTAAAATGTATATGTGGCAATTGTTTGTGTGAGATATATGATGGGAAAAAAATAACTTTTTTAAAACATTATCTCACTTGTAAACCATATTGAGGTAATAACTGGAATAGAGAAGATGGATGCATCCACTTGCAACAGAAATCTGTTTTGTACTGTGTCTGATTTTAAAGGAGTTTTACATTTTAAAAAATAAGTTTTTGTGTTATTCAAAAGCTGGTACCATTTATTAAAAAAAACTAACCGATGTTCAACACTGGGTATTGGAGCTCCCTTCATGCAGCTAGTTGTACAATTACTTAAAACTATTTTAAGCACCTGGCTAATGAAATTTTAGAGAGGGAAATATTAATCCTTTAAGGCTTGCTGTTCTGCTGGGAGTAATAATAAGTTGCTCAAGAATTAGTTTTTTGATGAAGGATCTTTCTTTAAAAATAAATGTAGTGTTCTGTTTCTGTTGATTTATTCTTCTATCTTTTTGAACTGGCAACTTTAATTTTTCTCACTGTGCCAGCTGTACCCAATCCAGTTTTTTAGATGTGCTGATACATGCGCCATAATTTGCATATCAAGTTGCAAATTTTCTTTTGTAATGGCTGATGTTGAGCAAGCCGATGCTATCTGCAAAACAAATGTTCTTGGACACGTTTGTTTGCTGTATACTGGAATCTGATGTAACACATAAGATCACTGAAGGAAGTGGTGGAATATTGATTTAATAATTTTTTAATCTATTGATAGAATATAACCAACCAATTCAGGCTTGCGCCTATCCTCACCGCCATCAGAGGCTAAGCTTTCCTAATTGTTAGCAATTCCTCCCTCAATCTTTTCATCTTGCCCCCTCTTTATCTCTCTTCCAGTCTCGCCTTAAAAGCTACTTCTTTGACTGTGTCCATGGTTTCTCTCTTCTCTCCCCAGTTTTAAATTCTAACCCTAGAAATTGGATCTAATTCTTCACATCCTCCCTGAATCCCAGAATGGTAATGTATTTATTCAGTCCATGCAAATAGCAGAGATTGCTAACTGCACTTTCTTAGAAATGCCTTCTCTATCAATTAATCTGAATTTAGAGTATGAATTCTCAGGCCTAGTAATTCCTAATCCATGAAAGGTGGGGGCATTGGTGCAAGTACACAACAGGATATCTGGTCCACTGCACAGTACATAAATAGAATAGACCTAACAACTTCTGTACAATGTGCACTTTCTACAAAAATTGGATGTGAATCAATCAAGCTTTTGCAATTCTTCTTTGTGGACAACAAGAAAACAGAACCTCTTGGAAAAGGAAAGAAAACCACAAGGGATTGGCAGATATAATGCTGATTCATGGCAATGTTCAAATTAAGGTACAGAGATAATTTGAAGATCGTGAAACTTCATGTATTTATGTTTCAGAAAATGTACATAGCGCTTAACTTGAATTGGGCATTGCTGTAGGCATTTTTTTAAATACAAAAAAGTAGCCCATCTCTTTTTTGGGGATCATGAGCTCAAGATTAGGGAATTTCTACTCCCTGTGATCTTGCATCGTACTTCATGGCAAATATACTAAAATCTACTTTAAAGACTACTTGTATAGAGCAAAACAACCTAACCATTTATCTATAACTAACTTCACCCATTGCAGCTTTGCATCCAATCTAAGGATCCAATATGGAATGTAGATTGACACACAGACAGACATTTCGTCTTTTATCTATACTCAGCTGGGAAGACTCCTGTGGGAGGACTCCTTTAATACATTTTCTCTCACAGTCTCTCTCAGTCTCTCTGTCTGTCTCTTTCTGTCTATCTCAGTCTCTCACTATCACAGTCTCTATCTCTCTCTCAGTCTCTCTCTTTCTCACATGGGAGGACTCTAGCTCCCATGACAACCAGAAAAAAGTGCCATACATTTGTTGCAAAATATAGATATATATCTTTCTTAATGGTGTGTGCTTTCCTCTGTCGCTATGTAGTTGCAGAATACGATGCATAACTCATATTTTGGGGCTTAATTAAAGCATTTTTTAATATAGCTCATCAACAATACGGTATCCCCACCAAAGAGAATATGCCCATGACACTGTCAGATGTAAGACCTTTCCGATGAGGTATGAATCATGTCTCTGTCAATCGGTTATTGCGTGATTGTAAGACACCGACACACAGACAGCCAGACACTTCGTCTTTATTAGACAATAAATCGGCAATATTAAAACCATAGTTTATATAACCTGTACACTCACTTTCAGAGCTGTGGTTTAGTCCCAGGAGTATCCATCCCACCCTATTTGAATTGACATGTCCTAGATCTCACAAATTCATGAACAGTCCTCTTTCTCTTTCTCTTTCTCCCCACCCCGTTCACTCTGATATATGTTTACAGCAGATGTTATGAGTTACCAGGGTGGTTTTTAGCCTGGGATATCGGGCTCATTTAAGAAATAGCTTGATGCTGTAATGGAAAGATGGTAATGTTGGTATTCTAGAAAGATGCAATGTAATGGGTATTCAAACCTCTCCTGTGAACTTATGAAGCTACAAAGAGAATGTCCCCTCAAATTAAGACATAATATATGATACTGCCTCTGAGTGATGTAATACAGTTTTTTTGGCAAGAGCAGTGTGCTGGATCATCTTATGTTCCTGAAATTGAGCAATCATTTTTGCACGAGTACTGTCTTGCTGAACTGAGGATAGGCTAAATAAGTAAAGAATGAGTCCAAAGGTCAAGCCTGAACCTATTAACCTATTTAACAAGAAAGCACAGCTCAATTTGCTGTTTGGTCAAGCATGAAGGTTTTATACTTTTTTCAATGCAATGCATTTTTAAGCTTTTTATGGAAAGCAAATGTTTAATCCGGCTTTCTTCCCAGCTGTCTGGCAACATTACATAGTAAAGGTTATGTTGTGATATAAAGAGCAACTCAATCAACAAGTCCTGATATACTCACAAACCACAAGAGCCATCGTGACACACTTTAAATAGTTACCAGAATACTGATTGTTTTGCTGCTTATAACCACTATCAGTGAAATGGCTATTTTAAGCAATTTTTTAATATAAGTGTTTTGGGGGTTTATGAGTAATCACGGTCTTGTAAAATCTGCTGTTGTTGCCATGGTGGTCTTATGAAAATTATAGGTTTGAACATAGTGGGTTGGGAGGAAGTATGCGCAGAGATATAATACAATGCATCAGCTGGATCAAATTGCATAACGATTGATCAGGGCTCCAGATGAGAATTTGAGTTTGGTCATGATTGATGTCCTCATCTGTCACATTTTGGTGATTCATCCTTCATCTGATCCATGTTTAGGTAGTTCCTGTGTAATTGCACACACAATCTGAGGTGCTGTACCTGTAATCTGAACTGTTATTGTTTTCACATATGATTCCTTTGTTTGGATAACATAATGGTTACTTCAACAACACATAAAAGTTCTCAATCTCAGCTATGCCACAGAGTGGAGATGTTGAGCAAGAGGCTAGGCCCTTCCCCACCGGAAGGGAAAGGTTCCCATGAGGTTGCTGGGAGCAGATTCTTGTCCGCACATGTAGCCAAGGATAGTACGTGGTATGGGGAGATTAAGAAAAAAAAACGTTTTAGAAAAGGAGAATCTGCTCTTCAGTTAATTCAGATCCCTCCCAAACTGAGGGCCTGTAAAAGAAAAAGATTTTCTTACTCTGTAAAAAGTATAAACTGCTGATTGCGGAACTTAGTTGTTTTTCTTTAAAAAGCACTTTGAATCCAAACCATATTGCTCCCACGGAGGGCAGGCACATCCATGCCAGAATCAAACCTTGTACTAACATGCCACTCAAACAAACACTACGTGATTCAAACATGTAGTGTCTCTGAAGACTATGGTTCTATTTGCAGTATATCCCTTTGAAAAGAATAATAAATAAGCCCTGAAATATTTTTTTAAAAAAACTGATGGAAATCTGACAAACAGAAATGCTGGGAATTAATTCTATCAAGTATATCAGAATCTAAAAGAGACAAATGAGTAGGTGTGCCACTTTCTGATTTTATTTGGTTAAAAAGAATGGTTTTTGTCTCCCAGGTTTCTGCAAATCAAGGAAAATAATTAAAAAAAAGTATTTTATTCTATTTTGAACTAGTAAAATGGCCCATTTCCATACTCTCCCATGGGACCTCATCTGTAGATATGTCCACTTTCCCATATATGCAGTTGATATCCAGCTCTCTCACTTTGACTATAAATTTAATTCCATTAGTGTCACACATGTTGCCATGGACAGTGACCAATTGCCTGTCAGACATCAAGTCCTGGACAAATTGTAACTTTCTACAGAGGCTCTCAGCTCCTTCTCACTTCAGGTGTTGTATGCAGAGACTTGTGTGAACGCTGACTGCACCTCATTGAGCTGGTGTGTCTTGTTTGACTCCCAGCTGTGTTACAAACCCTACACTGAGGCTCTCACCTGCTTGGCTTTCCCTTTCTTCGACAACTTCACCTGCTTCTGCCACTATTTCTCCTCTTGGGCTGCTGAGAACTTCCACTCGTTATCATGTCCTGGCTGGATTGCTTCAACGTCCTGCTCCCCCTGACTCCCCAGCTCCTCCCTACACAAGATGAAAACCACAGAGCCCATATTCTCTCCTACACCAGACTCGACAAGCCCATCACCGCATTCTCACTCAGCTCCACTGCCTGCACATCCCTAGCAAATTAAATTCAACTTCTCAAATGACTCTGCAACCTCTTTGGTGACTTTATGACCAAATAAAGTTGTGTTCCGCCACTGTCAAGTGCCCTGGAACACTACCCTGTGTGAGGGGCGCTATGTAAATGCAAGTTGTTGTTGCTGTTTATCTGCTGAGCAAACATCAGCCTACTTCATATCCTTTCCTCCCCAATCACTGGGTGCTTTAGCTCTCAAGAACACTATCCCATCGTCCCTGTTTCTTGTGCCCTCACAACCCATCTTCAAAATCTACATTCAAACCTACTTTTAAACTGAGTTTCTGCCCACCTTAGCTCTTACTCTTTCTTCCCCCCCTCCCCCCCACCTTGATATTCCAGTCAACTGTATGATGTTGAGATAAGCAACCTGAAAGGGGCTATTTAAATGTAATTTGCAAATGTTATAGAGCCAATATTATATCTTGAAATCCACACAGGTTTAAAATGATGTATAGCAGTGCTATTTCCTAATAATGCATTGTAGCATTGAGGGCGCAAATATAATACTTGAAATCCAACTAATCAACTGATTAAATGGCCGAATTATCTGTTTGATTTAGGGGAAGACTGAATTAAGTCGTTACTTATAGAGCATCAGGGCTGTGGTGTTGGACATAACATCCACCTCCAAGGGAAAAATTTCTTTCACAGCCTTGAAGTCGTCAGATTTATTATTAGCTTTCAATACAATACTGTTATGTGTGTATATATATATATTTTTAAAAAGGATAAATGTGATTCAATAAAATATTCTGGCGTTCTGATGACGTTCGGATGTCAAATTTTATTTCTATTATCCATGTATCTGAGTCCCATACTAAGATTATTTTCTTGTGAATATTATGATTTATTATTAAAATGTACAGTATGTATCTTTAATATTGCAACTTTTTCAACCCTTTTTTCAGTGAAAACAGTCTTTAATTCTGCTCCGGCTGTTGCTGATTTGGATCCTGAATTCTATCAAGTGACAGACGTCTTCTGCTGCAATGAGAGTGAGGTACTGCAATGAGTACATTTAATGGTGTGTTTTAGTTTATTAAACTAGATCGAGACAGGTTTAGTGGCAAAGCTTCATGTCTTTACCTCTAGGGCACTCGGGTGTAAATGCAACAAAGACTGATGAAATTAAAATCTTTTTATTTTGCCAACTGTGATGGTAATTCTATCAGACATCTAGTCCTGGATGAGAGCTAACTTTCCTCAGTTGAACATCAACACGACCAAGGCCCTCCTGATTGGCACCAGTCAGCATCTCCAAACCTCAAGTGCTGACAGCATCACAATCCATGGATGCACACTCCACCTTACTAAGTCAGTCCGGAACCTTGGCTTCTTGTTTGACCCTCAGTTATCCTTTCTAGCCCACATCCGTGCCTTCCCCCACCTCCGCAACATCGCCCGGCTCCACCACATCTCGCACCACAGGCCACCGAAACCCTCATAAACACATTCATAGCATTGAGGCAAACTCCCTGCTTGTCAGCCTTCCCAACTCCTCTCTCCATAGGCTGCAGATCACCCAGAATTCTGCAGACCATGTCCTGTCCTGCATCATCCTCCATAACCCTATCATCCCTATTCTCGCCTGACTCCACTGGCTTCCCGTCACACAGAGGATACAGTTCAAGATCCTGGTTCTCATCTTCAAAGCCCTCCATGGCCTATCTCCCCCCTACCTCTGCGATCTTCTAAACCCCTACTATCCTGCCCGCTCCCTCCGCTCAACGGGATCTGGCCTACTTCATGTCCCTGAAGCATGGTAAAGCATGGTAGCATGAAAAGCACTACAATGCTTTAAAGCACGGTGAATAATATCAATGGAGCAGGCCGGCTTTCTGTGTACGTTTGTGGTGAATGTGGTTGATTTACGTCAAACTGAGGAAAGTGCTGATCAGAATTCTACAGTATATACAAGGCCATTCACGGCCTCGCTCCCTCCTACCTCTCCGACCTACTATCCCCCTACTTATCTGCCCGTAGCCTCCGTTCCTCTGGCTCCAGGCTACTCCACATCCCCCGCCCTAACCGCCCTACCATCGGTGGCCGGGCTTTCAGCCTCTCAGCCCCGAGGCTCTGGAACTCTATCCGCCAGTGCCTTCGCCGCTTCCTCCCTTTCCTCCTTCAAGGCCGGTCTCAAGACCTTTCTCTTTGACCGTGCCTTCAGCTCCCCTCTCGACTCTCTTCCCCCTCCTCACTCCCTCCCTTCCCTCCCCTCACCCTGACCATTTCCCCCCCTGCTCGGGTCCTGACCCAACTGTCCAGTGCCTTGGGACGTCCTCCCGACGTGAAAGGCGCTCTGTAAATGCAATCTTGTTGTTGTATATCAACCACAAATGCATGGCTACTTTTGAAGTGTCAATCCTGTGTACAAGATAATGCTGCTGTTTACTTATGAAGGGTGAAACATTTTGTGCCATGAAAAGATACTTGTAGAAATGTGTGACTTCCTTCTAATTACCTAATGTGATTGCCCGGATTGAAGAAAGTGTTTTATTATTGGGTTGATTTATTAAACAATGGCTGTGCAATTCCAAATAAATGTGTACCTGAGCCAGGCCAAGAATTCTAGTGGTGCAAACCAATTCATTTCCGTTGTACAATAAGTCAGATGGTTGTGAGTTCAAGCACTGTTGTGATATTAAACTCACGATCTAGGCTGACACTCCAGTGCAGTGCCGGGGGAGCTCTGCATTGTTGGAAGTGATTTCCTTTGGTTGAGATGTTAATCCGAGGTACTGTACTGACTTGTAGGTGGATGTTAAACTTTCCATGACACAAACAAAAGAGAAGGGAGTTTCTCCGTGTACTGGCCAGCAATACTCCAGATAAATTGGATATGGCTGTTTGTGGGACATTTGCGTTCACAAAATTGGCTGCTGTGTTTGCCTAAAAATACACAGTCACTACACTTTACAATAAATTCTGTGAATTGCTTTGAGATGTCCTCATGATGTGATAATTGCTATGCCAAATGCAAGGATTATTAATCATACTCCTCTTGTAGTTACATACTCCACTGTAACTTTGGAAATAATAATAATAATCCTTGCGTTTGATGTAGCGCTTTTCACATCTTCTAGACTTCTCAAAGCGCTTCACAGAATATACTGTAAAGTGAATTAACTGTATATTTTGTGGGCGAAACTCAGCAGCCAATTAGGCCCAGTAGTGTCCTACAAACAATGTTTGTGGGAACACTGTGGGATTGAGTAACCAAATTGTTTTTTAAGGGATTATTGCCCCTGAAAAAGCAATCCGCCAATCGACTAACAGCCGGGTTCCTATTTACTGCTAGGTAAACAGAGGTGTGTGTGGAGTAAGGAAACTTGCGCAATGTTTCGCTCTGCCCGGGCATCGAATCCACGTCCTCTCGCTTGCAAGGCAAGTGCTCTAACCACTAAACTACAGGACTCCACAAAATTATGTAGGTGAGCCATTGTTAGAACCCAAGAAATTTACAACACAAAAGATCATTTGGCCCATTGTGTATGGAGGCTCTTTTAAAGAGAAATAATTTCAGTTACACAAGAATGTAATTTTTTTTCTGGTCTGATAAATCTATATGGATGAAGCTGTGATTTGGTTACAGGAATAAAAACAAATTTGTAATCTATAGGTTCCTATCTTTCTCACATAAAGTTATCAGAATTATTGTAAACAGTAAAACTTCATTAATAACAAAGTTCCAGAGTACTCAACATCCTTTGTCATAAATTTATCTTTCTACCATCTGTTGAGAATTGGCTGTGGTTTAATCTTAAAAATCTTGTCTAACGTAACACAATAAGCAAGATCTGGTCAAAGCCTCCAGGGGTTGCTAAAGATTTGAAACCACAGGTATTTTCTAGTTTTCTCTTAGTTTAAATTTCGATGTGGAACAAATGTTTTCTGGACAGTGTTAACTTATTTTCAGTTTGTGCCCCATGGTGCATTTTGCACAGTACATTTTTATGCCTATGTGTTTATGCTTGTGTAAGGATACCACTGCCTATACTGTCCTTTTCTTATGCTACAACCAAAAACATAGCATTACTAAATCACCAGTATGCAGTGCTCTATATTTTCAGGACTGGTGCCACCTTTATCTGTTGCTTTTACCAACATTTTTGCCAAACAGCTGCTAAACAAGAGGTTGGTCCAAAGAAAAAACACTAACTAACTAACTCAAACCAGCTTTAGTATCACTGTATTGTATATTTTTTGTTGTATCTTTTCCTGTTTCTTCTCTGTTCTGGAGGATGGCAACCAGGGCGCTTCATACTTCATATTTTCCAATTTGACCACTCTGCAGATGCTGGTGATGTTATACCAGCCCATTCAACAATGTCACCTGTTTTTCTTTCCCTAACCCTTAGGTGATTAACAGCGATAATTATTATCTTGTAACAATTTTCTCCTCATTGAATCGTAGAACATTTACAGCCATTCACCTCCTAATGTCTGTGCTGGTAACTCCACTATCTATTCTACTCATATTCCCTTCCTCTTCCTCATATCCTTTAGTATTTTCTTTAATTATCTATCCAATTTGCTTTTACAACAGACAACAACAACAACTTGTATTCATATAGGGTTAGGGTGCCAGACTGAGGATCTTGAAATTGATCCACTCTGTGACAGGGAGCCAATGGAGTTTGACAAATACTGGGGTAATGGAGGTACAGAGTTTATTGCGGGTGAGAATGCTGTCAGGAGCTTTGAATTAGTTGAATTTTGTGAATAAGTGGAGCAGGGGAGGCCAGCGAGGAGGGCGTTTGAGTAGTCGAGGCGGGAGGTGACTCCTTGCTATGGGCTAAGCTTCAAATCTAGTAACCCCCACCGAATTAATCAGTTTAGTCGTTTCCCAATGTATGTAGCATTACCCCCATTAATCCATAAAGTTACAGAGCGTAGTATAGTTGTCCATTTACTTTTTGAATACTGTTATAAACTTGGCTTCAACAGCCATTTGTGATAAAGCATTCCACATTCTTACAACCCTCTGTCCAAAAAGATTAGTTCCAACTTCGCTTTTTTATCTTCTGGTAATGATTCTCAATTTATGTGCAATTCATCATTGGCCTAATTATTTCTTGCTTGTATTATTTCACTAGTCGTTTTTCTTGCTCAGACTAATTCGCAATATAAATCTACAATATAATTCATATATTTTAAAGAGATGTTTTTTAAAAAGTAGTAACTCAATCTCTGGGTATAATGACAATGAAAACAGTTTGGCGTTGCTCTTGCAGCTTATGACTTCATTCAGATCCTTTGATCCTACCTTGGATCTCAGTGCCAGCAGTCAATTGTCTGTTTCTTCTGGTTCTCTGTTAGATTAACCATGCTGGGTTTCATATTGAGTGTAGGAAGTTTGCAGCATTTAGTAAAGTCTCCCTAACAATGACTGACTTTACATCACAGAGTTCCTTCATAATAAAGTCAAGCCTATAATTAACTGCAAAGTTCTTAACTTTATCCAGTAAATTTGCCAAGTCAACCTCAGTGAAACTATTTCCTACAACTTCTCCCTCTGCTAACACTATGTTACATTTCCTCACAGAATTTCCATTTAATATAGCACCTTTCATGTCAATACATTACAAAATTCTTACAGGTAATCACTGTTCAGTTTAGCGACTGTTTTTTATGGGCAAACACAGCAAGAGCTCATGAATAGCCATCAAGTGAATGATCAATTAATCTGGAGTATTGTTGGCTGGGATAGCGGAAGAAACTACATTTTCATTTTGAACAGTGTTCAGTCTTGGAACAAGTTCTCTCCATTTTTGTTGTATGTTTCATGTGAATGACTGCACTTTCAATTGAACACTTCCCAAGTACTTCACAGGAGTGTCAGCTTGGACTATTGAGTTCAAGAGCTAACTTGCCAGTATTCACAAATACTCTGTCCTAGATAATACAATTAAATCCTCCTCCAAATATTCCATCTTGAAACAAAATACGTTTTTGTGGTTAATGGAACTCCCAGTAATGGTTGAGAAAGGTTGTGATCTTGCAGAGAAGTTTTGTTTTACTCCTTGAGAAAATATTTTCAATGGAATTTTAGATAACCGATAATTCCTGTATTCCAATCTAGTGGAATAGCTTTCCAGTGTACATTAGGTAGTAGTAAGGGCTCAATTATAGTACATAGCTTCATGTTGATGTATAAATATAGAGCAATAGATAGTGAGTTACAACTGTCATTCTATTCAGTTTAGATGCAAGCTTCCTTGTTGATTTTACAGTATTAAATGATGTATGAAAGGCTTGTTTTTTTCTGCAGCATTCAATTCAATCCAAATCTATAAGCACTTTAAGAATCACATAATCCAGTTCAAGGCATTGAAAGCTCCCAAACCAATTCCAGTAACATCCAGGGATTGGTATCTGTTGTACAGAGTACCATAGAAATGCTGAATGTAGGCACATCCCAACTTTGCTCTCACAATTTATAACTCCAATCAAATTATAGATGACAGCTTTATTATTGTATGCTATTCTGCATATAACAGTTTACATCCATTAGAAACCCCCCCAAAACATAGAGTGCCAGAATGACATAATATATGCTGTACTAAATATGTTTTCTGTCTCTCTGGCACTTCATTGTGTTTGTTGGGTTCGTTCAATGCAACAGTACTTGATAATTGTTTCAGGAAGATACAAATCAACATATCAACATGATTAATCATCTGAATGGAGAATTAGGGTGTAAAAACATGTTTTTTTGACCTGTTGACATGCACTGTACAAACAAAATTGAAGTGAATGTTTACAATTGCCTGTAAGACATGTGGCGAATAATGAAGTCATGTCTACACTTGTACTTACAATTGACCGTTTTTAAAAAGTGCAGAGTTTTAAATTCTTTAACCTCCTATTATTGTATCAACAAATCTAATCAGATAACCAAGTACTGTACTTCTGAAGCCAGATGTTTATGCACATTGCGGGTGTGATTATTTGCAGAGCTATATTAATAACCCACTTCCAACTACATTATCTATTTTCTCATCCTTTCAAACATGTTGATTGTGTCTTCTCTCATCAGTCTTTTATCCAGTGAACGTTTAGCTCTGTGAGTTTCTTTGTAAGCTAGAGATCTAAATCCTGAGATTAACTTTATTAGCTTTTCGCTGCACTCTTCAGTCTTTTTGAATGTCTAAATCCGCATGAATATTCCAATTGTAATTTAACCAGTGATTCCAGATTTGAAATAACTTGCAACAAAAATCCTCACGATCCATTCAAATACTTTAGTATCTTGTTGATAACAACAACTTGCATTTATATTGCGCCCTTCACACAGGGTAGAGACTTGGAGAACTTACTGATATCAGAACAGATCTGAGAGGGAAGGGGCAAGAAACTGGTCTGCAGTTTGATCCCTTTGTACAATGCAAGGAAATGCAAAATGCAAGGATTCACACAATATGTTCTGCTCGTCAGCGAATGAGACATTGTAATTTGACTGGTATAATTACTGTGGACAAACTGGGGAAATCTGGCTGTAGATCTGATACCTGCACTTACTTTGGAGAATGACACCTTGACCATTCTGATTGGTATACTAGGCTGACACTCCAGTGCAGTGCTGGGGTATGATGCAGTGTTGGAGGCGCCTGTTCAGATGGACGTTGAAGATCCTCTGGCACCATTTGAAAAGAGAAGGGTGCTTCTCCCATTGTTCTAGCCCAAAATCCCACAAATAAAATTAGTTATTCACTTCACGCTGTTTATAGAACATTGTTATTCATAAACTGTTAGTGAAATTTGTCTACCAAATACACAGTAATTATTTGGAGTCCTGTAGCTCAGCGGTTAAAGCACTTGCCTCACAAACGAGAGAATGTCAACAGGTATTGTCTCAACCTGGTGAAAGAGCAAAAGAAGGTTCCAGTCATATTTTAACAACTATAGATCATTATCTTTCCTTCTCCACCCCTCCCCTTCCCTCCACATTTATTCTGGTACATTTTGTACATGCTGGCAGCTTATCCCCTCGGGTAATGTTTGTACTCATTATTCATGTATGTAGCTTTACTTTGGTTTGTCACACACCCAGCTTGCTAGAACTCTGATGAAGCAAGTCCCTGAGTTGTGAAGGACCTCGAACATTTAAAGTTAGTGCAGGACTGGCAGTGTAACAATACTCCAGAGCAAATGCTCATAGCTTCAAAATAAGGGCAGCAAAAAATGCAGGAGAATTTGTTTCAGTAGAAAACTGATGTATTGGAGTCGGGATTCTTCCCATTCAGTTCCAGTTAACCCTATAAACAAAATTCCTAATGGGTAGTGTGGTCATGGCTTGACAGATAATGAATGGTTTGCTTGCTGGACAGTGACCTCAATTGCAAGCTATGCGGTTGAGGCTGGTTAAAGTCCAGCAAAGCCCCCCTCCCCCAATACACACTCATGTGTCCTCAAGCCTTGGCACTTATTGTCCAACGCCCTGGGACATCTTTCCGACATGAAGGGCGCTATACAAGTGTAATTTCTTGTTGTTATCAAGCTAAGCTACCTCAGTATAATTTCACGAACCTCTGCAGGTTAATAGCGTGAAAATCATCTTCAGCATCATCAGACCTATCTGTTCCCACCCCTTTCTCTAAATGTTTCATTGCTTTTCCATTGTTTCACTGACTCCTGCCTTTCATATATATTTATTGTTGTACAGCTCTGACAAAGCATCGGTCTGTTTAACCTTACCTCTCTTGAGTGGTGCATTTCCAGAGATATCTGACCTCATTTACAATTGAATGGTACAGGAAAGGTTTCCAGCCGACCCTGTCAATCAAAGGCAGGGAAAACAGCTGGCTCTGTCGTTATCAGGTTTTAATAAAACTGCTCCTGAGTGCTGCGGTGTTTAGTCAGCACACTAGATGTCTGGACATTGTTTAATTTCAAGAAAATATTACATAAATACTCAACGTAAACCTGAATCGATTTCTTAACCCAATGCCCTCACGGCTATTTTGACATCAGAAAGACAGGTGGCCATCCAAACTATAATTACTCTATGAAGCTGATCATTCATTATTTTATATTATATATTATTATTATTATTTTTCGCAGGTCTTCGAGGCATACATTGAAACATTATCATCTATCCAGCAATTGTTTCTGATTGATAATGCATAGAATGGCTGAACCTGAGTTTAAAGTGCCATATACTATATTCCAGAAACAATCATGACAAAAGTATTTTCAGTCATAGATGTGCTAGCTGATTCACAAAGTGCCCCAAGCAAGAAGTAAATAATTTGTTTTGATAGTAGTAATAATAATAGTAGTAATAGTAATGATCATATTTGCAGAATTATTTTTGTCTTGATATATCTGACTAATAAGGAAATGTTATAAGGCTACCATTTTTGGATTCGATTTGTTTCAACTCGGTTACTCAATAGTCTTCACAAAACAAACGGTTGTCTGCAACCAAGTGGTAAGTGGCTGGATGTGTCTTAGCCTGTACTCGTGGTATTCTTAAAACACCCAATGGCTTCAAATTTATGCTTCAAAAACAAAGTTGTTAACCCTGCAAGAGCTACATTAACTTGTAACCGTTCTTTAGCATATTACTAAAAAAAAGTTACCCTCAACATTTGTATCATACTCCCCACCCACCTCCCTCCTTTTTGGATCTTGTTTCAAATATGTAGCATCTGTAGGATTTATTTATTTGCATTGGTTTACGTTCTGACTCTGCCTTGATCTCTATAATAATGCATGTATTGCACTCAATATCCTGGGATCCATTGCCTTGGTCATTCACTTTACAGTATATTCTGTGAAGCGCTTTTAGAAGTCTCAAAGAGGTGATAAAGCGCTATGTCGAATGCACGGATTATTGTTATTGCGGCAGGTAAATGGGGATAGAGGTTGGCAAACATTACAGTATTTTACATTAATAAGAGAGAAACTTATTTACTTTATTTTTAAGGCTACCTCTTTTCCAGTCAGGTACTCCATAAAAGTAGTGTTACAGTTTCTAAATTACGTGGCCATTGCCTGTTTTGTAAGGTCTTGGTCAAAGATTTACAAATAATGTACAGCACGGAAACAGGCCACTCGGCCCAACCAGTCGATGCCGGTGTTTAAACTCCACACGAGTCTCCACCCATTCCTTTACAACAACACAGCTATTGTAATGAATGAGAAAGGAGGGCTTATAAATGTCTGTGTCTGGAGCAATTTGATGATATTGTGAGTGACTTTTAAATTCAGGAATGTTAACAAGGGTAACAGTGCTCTCTATAAGGTCCCCATTTTATTTTTGTTCCAATAACAACTACACTGCCCTCTGTGTTATTGGGCCTGACATTTACTGTGCTGCAGATCATGATGTAAACAAAAATTGTATATTTAAAAAGTCCAAATTCTAAGATCTTTTCCTGATGTTCCTTTGCAGGCAACGATCTTGACGGATATTGAAGTAACTAGTGTGGAGGATGCCGAAATGGCAAATTCCATTTTGCTGGATAAGGGTTGCAAATCTGTGATCACCACATTGGGAGCAGGGGGTTGTGTGCTGACGACACAAGAAAACCGGACTCCTATACACGTTCCCACAAGAAAAGTAAAGGCACTGGATACTACGGTATGCTTTGTGGTTTAACGGTTTTGCTTTAGGGGCTTGATTGAAACAACAAAGTATCATGACTAATCGAGCAAACCTCTGGACCAGAGGATGTAGGCTATTTAGTGGTTAAACATGATATTGTTCCTGAATTCCTTGACATTTCACAATTCAACAGCTTAAAACTTTTTTTAAATAAAATTTTACATTTCAGAAGCACTTTTGAGAATCGTGTCATCCTACATAATTTCCTTGGATTTAAGCACTGTATTTAACAAAAAAAATCATCAACCATGACTCATTTTAAATCTGCAAAATTTAGGGGTCTTGAATCACCGATTGTTTCCCCAAACTGGGAGGGCTGATGTCTTCTTTTTCCTTTAACGTTCATCCTGGCTCAGTTGGTAGCAATCTCACCTCTTGAGTGAGAAGTCCCACATTAGGATCCTCAGCTCACTGTGGTTGGCACTCCAGTGCATTGCTGGGGGAACACTGCATTGTCAGTGATGTCATTCTTTGAAGGAGATCTTAAAACTTACTGTGCTTGTTCAGATAGACATTAAAGATCCTCTTGGCAGGATTCACAAAAGAAGGGAGGCTCTCACGGGTCCTGGTCAACAATCCCCTAGATAGATTTGGTCATTGTTGACTTTGTTGTTGCCCACAAACATACACAGTCAATACACTTTACAGCGTTTGGGCTCACAGTCTCCTGTGGCAGCCGTGCTTGGAGCAGAGACTGAAACTAACAGGCAAAGCGCTCACCTGGACTGGGGCTTCCACAAACAACAGTAAAATTACATTTGTATAGTGCCTTTCACGTTGGGAGGATGTCACAAGGTGCTGGACAATCAGTATTTTGGACCTGAGTTGGGGGTCGGGATCGGGCAGGTTGGAGGGCAGGGGGGGAAGGAGGATGACTGAAAGTATGGGAGGATCTTGAGATCCTCCCTAAGCCTGTAAGACCATTTTGTCTCAAAATGTAAGATTGCACAGAATTGTGGAAAATTCTTAAATTCAGTCTTAGTTGTAAACTGGTTCTTTGAAAGAACTATGGAAAGCAGGTCTTGAAAATACGACTAAATTTACATATTACTTCCAGAATTCTGCACAAACTTCAATTCCAAGGCAAAATGGGTTTAAGGCTGCAATTTAATATATTCAGTTGACCTATCTGTAAATTCCTATACTGTATCTTAGTTATCCTGTTTAATCTTACACATCTTTCAGATATGCTAAAGCCTACGTATCCAGTTGTGTTTCAGTTGAGAGGCCATTGGCATTTTTTAAATTTGTTGTCCTCTTTCATTTCACACCAACTATTTCCTTGCCATGTTTCCTCTGTTTGATTATCAGTCAATAAAAATAAAGGTGTATCCAAATTGACGGCATTGTTACAAAATAGGAGTGGTTTGTACTTGTCACCAAGGGACAGCATCAGCACTCCCAGGTCAAGTTCCTGAATTAGGTACAAAGCAGAATGTCACCTCTATTACATTGGTAATTAACCTAAAGACCAACCTTAGAACAGCACCCCTAGTATATTGGTTTACCATTAATTCACTATTCTTGTGGTTTGAGTGAGACCATCTATTTATAGTGCTAATCTGATCAAATGTTTGAAATAGATATTCGTTTCATTTTCACGACCTTAAATTCTGCCTCCAGATTTCAGTCATACTTTCCTCATCACCGAATATGATGTAACACGGGACTCTTTGTCATTCGTCCTTCTCTATCCTTTATACGCTTGCCTTCTTTGGAGACATCAAAGATTGTTCTTTTTCAAATATTTGAAAAAAGCGCTTGTTAAATAATAAAAGTACACACTCTATTTTACAGAAAACTACTTTCTTAATCATTTGTCCCAAAATGCAATGGAAATGAACAGGAATATGAATTCTGAAACCAAATGGGAAACTTAAAGAAAGGTAAAGACAGGCTTTCTGCTGGGTGTCTGTTGTGGGTTGTAACTCAATGGCTGAATAAACCTGAGTTTATTCAGGTTATTCAGCCATTGATCCCAGCCCTACCTCTCTGCTTCCACCCTCTTCATATAAAGAATACGACTTGAGGTTCTGGCTAACTTATTGTCAGACCTTAAGTCTTGGAAGAGCCATAACTTCCTTTGGCCAAATATTAACAAAACTGAAGCCATTCTACTTGTTTTTTGCTAGAACTTTCATGCCTCTGACTGTAACTCAATCAAATCTTCTTGGCTACTCACTCATTCAGCCACTATGTAACAAGTGCTTTTTTTCAAATATTTGAAAAAGAACAATATAAAAGCTTACTGAGAAAAGGTGAAGAGAGTGGGACTAAATGTATGGCCCTTTTAGAGTTAGGCAGATGGGCTGAATTGCTGCAAATGGTCTACAAACTACAATTGGATAACTATAAATATTTAACTCATCTGCGGTCACTTCCTAGCTGAAAATATTATGTATTTATGTAAAATGTTGGAGCATCTTGGAGCACTTAGTGAATAAAATATTAATAGTAGAATTTCAATTCATTGCTTGTCATCTGTCAGAATACTTCTGAAAGGAAACTAAATGTACGATCAGAATTGAGACAGGCTTTCACACAACTTCCCATCATCTTGGGCCATTGTAATAATCATGATTTTGGTTTGAATCATAAGTGCATTTGTTGACAATATTAATTGTAGAGTATATTGTATTACAATTGATACTGTTTGGTAGATTTAGTGTTGCTTACAGCTGTTGGGCCTCCAGCGCCTCCTACAGTTCCCAGGCTATTCATATGGAGACTGAATTTGAATCTTAATGACCCTGAGTAAATTTCTGCAAGACCCCAGACAGTCAACACCTGGTAGAATCCCTTTATCAGGAAAGATGAATTTAGACGCAAAGTAAGATGGTTTGTCCTAAATATTAAATTACTGTGCAGAGAGGGAGATGAAAAACAGTTTACATTTATTTAGTGCCTTTCATGTTGGCACGATGTCTCAAAGTCCTTGAAATTGTTTTTTGCTATTTAAATTCAATACATGTAAAGTAATTTATGATGATGAACAATATGCAGGCTTTGACAGCTGACTGGGTTTGTTAGAAAAACATACAGAGCTGTTTCCCGTTGCTCTGGAAAAACTGGCCACTTAAATTGTCACTGCTGCATTCCTGTTTCCTTTCTTAATTTGTTTTACTTTATAATATATTTTCTAACAACATAGACCCGAGAATAATCTTATACTTTGACTTGTTACTTGAAGTATAGTGCAAATTCATTTCAAGCCAGAAATACCTCGTTGATTGGTGTGGCTTCATCAGGTATATCATTCTTCCACACAAAGGGATTCTGCCAGGTTTTGACTTTATGGGGTGTTGCACAAGTTAACCCAAGGTCACTGATATTTTAATTCAGTTTCAATATGGATTTACTGATACAGTACGGGGAGAAAAGGGTCCTTATATGTAGGGCAAGAGTGTCCAACATTATCTAACTCAAATCATGCCTCCAGCCTTGTTTCCAGGACCACTGCTGTTCTGACTGATTGCCTGTCAGGCATCAAGTCCTGGATGAGCTCTGACTTTCTTCAGTTGAATGTCAAAAAGACAGGCTCTCCTCTTTGGCTCCCGTCAGCACCTTCTTGCCTTAACCTGCATGGATGCACATTCCATCTCGCAGAACCTTGTTATCTTCGACTCTCAACTGTCCTTTGAACCCCACATCCATACTCTGACCCATCTCTGTAATACTCCCTGCCTCCCCCACTCCCTTTCCTCTAGGGCTGCCATGACCCTAATTCACACATTTATTATGTCCAGCCTTGACTACGTCAATGCTCTGCTCACCAGACTCTCCAGAACTCTGCAGCTCAGGTCTTTTCCTACACTGGGCTTTGCAAGCCTATAATCCCCATCTTCGCCCAGCTCCATTGGCTCCCATCCCCCAGCAGATCGAATTCAAGATCCTCATCTTCACGTTCAAATACCTCTACGGTTTTGTCCCACCCTACTTCTGTGACTTACTTAAAACCACACCAATCCAGCTGCTCCCTTTACTCAGCGGGCACCAGTCTGCTTCATATCCCCTGCCCTATCCGCTCCACCATTGGTAGTCGAGTTTTCAGCCCATTCTCTGGAATTCATTCTGGAATTCCTCTAACTATCCCCTCCCTCAGCTCTTTCAAAATCCATCTCAAGACTTTCCTGTTTGACCACACTTTTGGGCATCTTTCCCCTCTCCATTCCTCTTGCTTCTCACCCCCAAACTCGGGTGCAAGTCAGGTCTGTCAAGTGCCTTGGGACTTACTCCCAATGTGAAAGGCGCTCTATAAATGTAAATTTTTATTTTCTTGTATGTCTCACAATATTCAAGAGTAAAAGCAGTAGCAGACCCAGGACACTGAATTCAGCTGCCATGAAATTAACATAATTTTCCTAAATCCTTCACTTTCCCCCCAGTTTTGCCGTCATCCTTCAATTGAGAGACGGGCTGAACAAGTCACAAATTCATCGGGAATTTTTGAGGCAGCTCAGTGAAGAACTTTCAAAGAACATAAATATGGGTTTGGTCTATTCCAGCATTAAGCCATGAATTCCACACAGCTTCTAATAAAACAAAGTTTAAAAAATTTGATTTCACACTAATGAAAATAGATAGCAGACATGAAGGCAAGCAAACATGAAAGGCCTTTTATTTTCATAATATTTCATCTGCGCATGACTCCAAACTGAAGAGAACAAGTAATTCTAGGTAATGGAAGCTTTATGATTCAACAGATATTTGTTAAAAAACACACATGAACAGCGTTTAATACTTGCGTGTTTCATTAAGAGCTGCCAAACACACTGCAAACCTTGTAAAAGAAAAAAATAGAAAAATATGTACTATGTAATAACATTCGAGGGATGGTCCTTTTCTAAACTTTTCTCACTCCCCAAATCAAGTACACATTTGTTTAAGAAAATACATTTTAGATTGGCTGAGGCTAACCCTAATTAAAGCCCAAATAGTTAGTCTGAACCATTTTGTTTCACTTATCACAGGCAGCT